AGAGGTCATCACGTACCCGTGTGCAGAATAGGACTTTTCCATGTTTTCCCTCGCCTTTGTAGAACCTTTTGGAGACGGCCCACTTCATACGGCAGGGCTCACAATGCCACTCGGTGTCAAAGACTGACGACTCGCTTTCAAATGACGAGCGAGCCTTGTCGTACTTGTGTCGACAATGCATGAATTCAAAGCCAAAGAGAAATTCCTGTGGTAGCTGGAAAGGGCTCCGCTTTGTATATCGGATGACAACCGTTCTTGAGTGGCACGGGGAAGTCAGCAAAACTCTTGGATGGATCTGCCTTCTTCCGTCTTCCTCCACCCTCGTATGCATATTTTTTGCTTTTCCTCCCCTATGGAGATGGAGCAGCAAGCAGTACAATGGGATAACGGGGTTCCTTGGCACTTACTGTTCCCGGTGCACCACGCGACCGTTGATAACTTGATACTCCCCCTGGATTTGCCTGAGGTGGTTGTATCCTAGTTCCTCTGTGTTGGCCTCTTTGAAAGACTGGAGCTTCCAATGCTTCGCGCATTCGGGCGTCTGATCGCGCTTCAGAGAAGCCATCCTGAACGCAGCTGCTCGCACAACCACACGCCTGTCGTCTTCTCTTCGAGCTGAGGAGGACGAACAAGGCATGAACGGTCTCTTGGGCCTCCACCACTCCCGGGCAGGGTGCAGTCTCAGGCATCTGACGCAGTTGTCGTGGTCTGGGAGATCGCGAGCCAGGAGGGAGAGCAGCGACTGTTTGTCGCCCGCCGTGCAGATCTCGCAGATGTGGTGCTTGTCTTGTAAGGTTACCCAGAGACGCTTGCACGTGAGGGAGAGCGCTGTTGCTGAGCTGGGGGGCAGGAGGTCGGCGATCTGTTGCTGGAGTTCCAAGGGGACCCTCTCGACGAGAAACGATGGCGGGCTTGGGATTTCTCTCTCTGGCTTCACGAAGACTTCTAAAGATGAGCTTGAGATGGCTTTCTCTGTCTTCCGGTGGTGAAAGTGCGGCTGTTTCCGATAGCGACTTTTTCTCTTCTCGCTCTTGCGCTTGAGGTGCTCCATTCTGGGCTTTTTTTATGGCTACGAGGACCGATGAGGTGAAGAACTAATGAAGTCGCGATTATCGTTGAAGAGAACTTCGAATATCAAATTCCTGTGGGTTGAGGAGATCTCTCTCACCTATATATACTAAATGATGTAGAGTGCGCCGGCGAATTAGGTAGGTAGTAGACTGAGGTCGACACTTGTTACTAGCCCCCCATGATTCGCCTGGATAACTCTGGTAGACTAGATGAAGTATCATCAGGAGGGAAACTAGAACGGCGTGGAACAGGATAGATATTTCGCTCGAACAAGCTAGTTCCGAGAGAGAGTCACAAGAGAAACAAGGAAAAGCTACGCCGTTAGCTGGCATTGTTAGCCAACGTACCTCTGATTGACTCTTAATTCAAAGGGCGCGAACAAAACCAACTAAGGGAATGGTGCCTCTTTTGTTGTATTAGATGACTCCATCTTTTCGGGTCAACCACGAGATATATTTTGTATCAATCTCCAGGTTAGAACCTTCTATATCCCAAGTTAGTATTGCATGAGTGGTATAAACTTTTATAGCGGATGCTGCAAATCAAATGTCTTGCCTGCGTTTGTTTCTCCTGCTTTCATCATCTTGGGCTTTGCGTCTCGAGTCCGGAACAATCACCCTCATCTTGATGGCATCCTCGGGATACTACCCCTCTTCTGGCTTGAGCCCACGCTATCATAGGTGTCTTCTAGAATCTTCATTGTCAAATCTTTGGGTCATGGATGCGCTTAACTCGTGCAGCCCTTTTTCTATCCTCTATGTGGACGGAGTGGAGATGGTGGATTTGGTAGAGATATATGGATATGGCGACCCTAGTAGCGCACACATTGCCCAACGACTGCCAGATGCCGGTCTACATTTTAGTTAACTGTATAGCTGCTTCTGCGGGGAAACGACTATTCCTGATGAGGCAGCGAGACCAACGTCGCTAGGAGGTGCATGTGGTCGTACCAGCCTATGTTGTTTAGAAACGTTGGTAGAATTATCACTAATTCCACCCGTGTCAAAAACGGACTTAAATTAGATAGTGTATCGATAGTACATGAAGTAAAAATGTACTCGGCTCTGGAACACGTGTCTCGAACGAGGATTACTCGCTCGCTTGCTTCCGTGTGACTGGTGCAAGTGACTAAAACAACCTATTGATGGAATCCATCCTTTAGCTTATACTTCAGCAGACTACTCTAATACTCGCTTATTATTGGATCTAACGGCATCTATGGATGTACTGCCATGGGAGATATGTATAGCCTTGACATTCAGCGATGGACCGCTCATCTATTCATGCTATATCCTAGATATTTCAGACAAGTGCGACGACGCAAAAGAGACACTCTTCATCACTGGTATGACCAGTGGCAAGAAGCAGGTACCTTTCAAATGAATCCAAGCAAATCCTGAATGCTAGTCGATTTCCAAAAACAGTAAAAGCTGACAATACAAGCACACAATATCTGACCACACCCACCGAGTAAGCAAGCCACCAATCTCGCGTCCAGAATGACATACTCAATACCCACAACTATATGGGCATATATGTCACGATGGATAGAAGGCATCAAGTAGCCTCCCATGCCGGGTCACACGTATTATGTATAACCTCGGACCCGCCCAACAGATGAGATGGTGGCCGACGCTACGAAACATCCTGGGCGTCATCTCGAGGTAGTCCGGCGTTATTAAAAGCTAAGTCTCCCAGCCCCCTGACATCGATAACACTCCGATTCGCCTTAGGCAAGAAGTGGTGCAATTGAGAGGAAGGCAATTGATACAGTTGGAAATGGTGCAATCAAAAGGGGAGCCATTGAAAGTAGAGCAGTTGAGAAAAGAGTTATTGGAAGAGGAGCAATCGGTGGAGGAACAATCGATACAAGGGGAGTACGTGCAATGGGAGGAGGTGCAAGTGGTACATTTGGAATTGGAGCAATTGGAGAAGCAACTGTCACAGTTTGGAGAACAGGAAGGCTTTCCGACTAGGTCCTCACTTCGGACACTCTTCTAAGCCGCACTTTAATTCTCACCTCTACGGAGGTAGTTTCTAGCTTCGGCTCTTCTATCTTCCAAGCACACTTTGAGCATAGTATGTATGTACGGTCATGGCGGAACAACTAGAGGAGGAGTAACGCAAAACAACTGGAGGAGGCTACAAACCCAACCTAATGCAGTTACTAGCTGTAGGAAAAGAGATTGATGGGATGGAATAGAAAAGGGAGAAGCGGAGGAAACACCAGGGCAGGGGGGTTTTTGGTAGACTTGAGGTGGGAAAAAGCGAGCAACGTTCAGATTCTTTTGAATTTAAAACCACGTTCAAGAAAAGTACGAAATCAATTACCGAGGGTGAGCTTTTGCGCTTGCTAATGCTAATGCCAATGCTACTGCTGTAGCAAAAGTACAAGCTGCCGGTGTGGGAATATACGTAGGCACCAGGCTCCGAGGCCACCTGGCTATACTACCTAGGTACGCAGCCCTGGAATAGATCCCCTCTTCAGACTTAACAGCCACGAATCACTGACGTATGGCCGTACCGAGTCTCGACCGGCAACAAGGTGTGAGCGCGTCTGTGGAGAAGAGCCTGGTGGTCTCTTTCCTCTTTTTCGCCAAAGAAATACCGCCGAACGAAGAAGGGGAGGACAGCGCGTCTGTAAACACGGAAAGCGTGAAATGCAGATAATCAGAAGCAAGCACTGAAAACAAAACAAGACCGAAGACTTTTCCAACTAACTCGAAGCAAAAGCAGTGTAATTCCCAAGCCCGGCCATCGCGGAGAGATGATGAGCAATAAGTGGTGCACAGATCCGTTGTACATAAGAGAGGGAACCTGCGTGCACTTTGTACGGAAGCGCGCACTGGATTCTCGTCACGGCGGCTGCGCCGGATACTATAGCAACAACTCACCTGGTCTTGGCAGCCAAGTAAACAACACGGAGGAAAACAAGAGCTCGTCTCTCCCTTGGCCAGATTTCTCCATACTGGGACGGCGATCGTGGCGCGATGTGCCGAGAGCATAAAACCCCCCCAAGTGGCGTGGCGCGCGCGGGGGCTGTCGACTCCACAGAGATCCAGGCGCGGCCTGGATTCGACTTCGGATTGGCTCCAGCAGAGTTTCGAGGTCTGTCTATACTTAGTACCGGTACTACAGTACGTACTGTATTGTACTACCGAGTAGATCAATTGACCCTTTTGCGCAGTCCAACGAACGCACTGATCACTTAAGAGACTGAGATTAGACTTTGCGTGTTGGCAGCCAGCCAGGCGCGCCACTCTTTGGCGCGTTTACGAAGTCTGCGGGCCGTATGATGAGCCGGCTGACTAACGCTTTCTCTCACCTGACTCGTGAATTATTCAAGGTCTGTGAAGATCAAGATCAGATGCAGGACATCGAAACTACTCCGTATGCGAGGCTGGTGTTTCGTCTACTTTTGACCTCGTATTCTTCTCCTATTCTTCCTTTCCTTCTACTACGTACGTAGTATGTGATGTTGTTGCCCCCTCCCCTCCCACCGGTACCGCAAGGGATGATCTACAATTGGTTTTGTACCTTGTTTGTTGCCTGGTCGATTCGCCTCATTTTTTTTTTCCCTTTTCGTTTCGCCAGGAATGAATGCATGGCGCGCATGGTGCCAAGCGGCTCCTCCAAGCCCTTGACACGATTATACCTTTTGTTCCTTGGGTTTTGGCACAATAGAAATGATGAAACAAGTGATCATCTCTTTTGAGGCATGGGACTCTGTTGGAGAGAGGTATGATTGAAGGGGATCAACCAACATACTTCTTGCATCGATAGGAGAGCGTCGGCGAAATAACCCAAATTTACTTTACCCCGGTGAATGGATGGGCGACTGATTGATGATTACCCGCGGGCCGCCAGGGCACAGCCAAGTCGACAAGTAAGTAGATAATTAGAAAAGAGAGAAACATAAAGAGAGAAACATAATGAGAGACAGAGAGAGAGACAAGCAGGGCACCGGGACTACGGTATTGTCCGACAGAATTGCCCGACGGAATTGTGGAATGAGGATGATCGATCTTGTTGCTACAGCTACCGTCACATCGACCTGTCCCCATGTCGAATATCATCCTACACTAAATATGCGTAGTACTAGAGTCAAATTTACTAAATTTAGGCGTAGCCATACAGAGCGTTGCAGAAAGATCAACGCAGAAAGACAGATGTGCTGGCCGCACGAGTAGTTTATGTGTGCTTATGTATACGTCCATCTTTGAAAATTGAAAAGGAAAATGGCAATACTAGGCATAGTCAGGTGAGCGCAAATTCGGCCTTGTGTTTACGGAGTACGGAGGACGATCTTCGATATAAAAAACAAAAAGACAAATAGACCATCGGCTAATATTAGCGAAATGAATACGATATCGGGTTGAATTAATCACAGACAGATATATACCCCTTCTTACACCTACATATGAGTCAATGCATATTCCCCTTCACCGTCCTCTGCAAATACGATGCCACCATCGAAATGTCTCTCGCTCTGGCTAGCCTGAAGCTTTCTCTTCATTAGAGCTCAAGGAAGAGAAGTTATCGGCTATCGAACAGTTGCCGAAGTAAGTATCACTTGACTCATATATGATATAAGCTTATACTAATTACGCTAATTATCGACAGAAGCCCGGCAGATTGATACGAACAATAACCATAGACATACGTAGTAGTCGATGGGATACAGCTGGCCGAAACAATCAATTAGGAAATGGCTTATATCTGTGTAAGTTGATTGATATTTACGGAGGTATACGGAGTATCGGTTACGTATCACCCCGAGAAGGTCCTGCGCTTCTCATGGATCTTGGAGTTCGGTCCAAAGTTGCCGAGGGCCATTCCGACTCAAGTGTTAAATGACGATGAGTTGGATTTTCTGGTCTGAATGCTATGAATCATCAGATTCTGTTGAGGTATTCGGACGATGTAGTAAAGGGGGGGGTTGGGAGACTTATGGAGATCCTGGAGAACCGAGCGAGAATGAGATCGAGGATGATGAGTAGCGCTGATGCTTTTGCTCCATTGTCTATTAGGTAATTACCTACTCTACCTTAGTGCTTGAAACATGCTTTGGTTTTTCCCGTAATAAGTAGTAGTTCGTACTACTTTACCTGATACGTGAAAGTGAGTGAGTAAGTGAGTGACATGAATACGGAGTGGGACCTGTAGCTAAAAATACGCAGCACCAGCACGCAAACTCTCGTGTTCGTTATACTTTATGAGCTGGTGGCATGTGCACTTTCTCGTAAGCAACAAATTCGAGTCCTCGGTATGCACCGCCTCTTCTCTCGATCTGCTGGCTAACGCCGTACGGACTGCGGGAGAGAGGGTTCGCTCCCCCTTTTCTATTTTCAATTTACGGAGGGCCTCGTACTCTGTATGGAAACTTGAGAGCACACGGACACTTTGATACTCCCTATTTAAATCGCAAACAGCGGCTGCCGCACTGCTAGATGTCCCAGCGCACGGGGCCAGATTTGCCCATGGCAGGGCACTCCCCTTCCGTGTTGCGAGTTGGTATCTGTATCTCTGGATAACCGCGTATACGTAGGTAGGTAGTATATCGATCAGAAATGAAGCAACAGCAGCCGATAGCCGGTAGCCGATCTGCATTATTTACTCCAGCAGACTCCAATCCCAATGCCAATGCCAATGCCAATGCCAATCCCAAATCCAATCCCAAATCCAATCCTGGCACAAATCAATCGATCGGCCCAGGGGGAACTTTGGCTGATGGCTGTTGCCTGTCCAATGCTGTGGCTGAAAGATAAAGTCAGTCACTCCGCCGCGATGAGCTCTTGACACTTTTCCAGTTTGAGGAAGGGGCAAAAGGCTATGCTGTCAAGGCTGTGAGCATGAAAGTAGTTTAAGCTACTTTTACTTTCGAGAGTCAGGGTCAGTCAGGGCCACTGACCTCCGAGCTCTGATGGTGACGGAGCAACGGCAAGGACGGAGTCCACAACTCGGCCTTGCACCTTGCACCTTCCCCCTTCCCCCTTGCCCCTTCCACCTTCCCCCGTCCCCCCCTTGCGCCCCTTCTTCCCCAAGAACCTCGAGAGACCACCAAGTACTACGTACAACCAACTACTACCTACTTCAGTACTAGCAGTGCAATTATTTCTAAACCTTCTCCCCTAGTCCAAACCTTAATCACCTTACCTTACTTACTGATACTTCATCTCCAAAACTCAACTCTATTTAACCACTCCCTCCACCCCACATCCCAAGAGTCAGGATTGAGGATTGCCTGTCGAGTGCCTTCACTTTTGCTGTCGCCGTCGTCGTCGGTGATTCTTCCATTCACATTCGTTCCAGTCAATAAAGCTTCGTCCTCCTCCTCCTCCTCCTCCTCCTCCTCCTCCTCCTCCTCTCTTCCCTCCTCGCCGTCGAAGCAAAAAAACTACCTCCGCGATGCGTTCCTCCCTCCTTGCCGCTGCCACCGCGCTGGCTGGCTCTACACTGGTCTATGGTCAGACTTTCAGTGACTGTAATCCCGTCAAGGGCGATAGTAAGTACAGAATCGAAACGCCACTGAAGATCAACTGTGTCTAGATAGCTACCCAGTAAAGACAAACTAACACGTCTGTAGAGTGCCCACCAAAGGCTGGTCTGGGAACGACCCTCGTTACCGACCACACCAAGCCCAGTACTGACTGGACCGAGGCTGTCGCGACCAACCTCAAATATGGTCCCGACGGTGCCGAGTTCACCATCGCCGGCCGAGCTGATGCTCCTACCATTGGCACCGACAAGTACATCTTCTTCGGCAAGGTCTCGGTTACGCTAAAGGCTTCTCCTGGTGTCGGAACAGTCAGCAGTTTCATTCTCGAATCCGATACCCTCGATGAGATTGATTGGGAGTGGCTGGGCTCGGATGACAGCAATGTCCAGAGTAATTTCTTCGGCAAGGGGAACACGACCACCTATGATCGTGCCCAATTCCACCCTGTTGCCGCTCCTATCGAGAACTTCATTACCTACTCCATCGACTGGACAAAGGACTCCATCAAGTGGTACATCGGTGACGACATGGTCAGGGAGCTCAAGAACGACGACCCAAAGACCCTCGGAGGCAAGAACTACCCGCAAACACCCATGCGCGTCAAGATGGGCTCGTGGATCGGTTGTCTCGATGCCGCCGCTGCCGCGAACCCTTCGTCGCAAGGGACGTGTGAGTGGGCTGGTGGACCGATCGATCTCACCCAGGGTCCCTTCACCATGTACGTCAAGAGCACGACGATTCAGGATTACGGGTGCGGAGGAGATTACAGCTACACTGATGCGTCTGGAAGCTGGGAGAGCATCGAGTCCACCGGTAAATGCGACGGCAAGGGAACTCCCGATATCCACTCTACCACCGTGCCTGCAACCCCGACCAAGTCTTCTACCATTTCCAAGAGCGGAGGCGTCATGGTTGAGACTGCCGCTAGTATGAGCAGCAAGCCTCCTTCACCTGCAAGCAGCACTGTGCCCAGCTCCTCCGGCGCCCCATCACCGGTTGCCTCTGGCACCCCTGGCACCCCTGGCACCCCTGGCGCCCCTGGCACCGCTGAATCTCCCGCAAATTCCAGTGACCCCTCCGTCGTTAACACCAACGCCGGCACCGTCCTGAAGCCCAAGCACCAGTACGGCGCCCTCGATCTGGGTGTCATGGCTCTGGGTCTCGCCCTGGGATACCTCTTCATGTAGGATGATTGCGATTTGGTCTGGCAGTATAAACCGCAGGGGCTAGGAGTTTCTCTTATTTTTTTGGGAGCATTCAAAGCAAGGCGTTGCTGCACTAGGAGTTTTTTATGCTTTTTGCTCTGAGCTTTTCCCCATTACGAGAATCACTATTCTTGGGAGGGCTTTGAAGATACCCTGAGCTTTCAAGGGCTACACTTTTGGAGGCTCGCTCGTCTGGTCGAGGAAGAAGAGGACGCTGTGGGAGAATTAATGTCATGCACCGCGCTAGGATGGTTCGCTCCATGGCGACGGAAGTCTTGGTACCTATATATAGTTGAACGAATTCAATGAAAGAATTGACAAGTCGTAGACTTAACTGCCTCTTTCCTCTCTTGCAGCCCGGTGATGGGGTGCAGGCTCGCGGGTGGATACTTGCCTGCCGTTTGAGCTGCCGAGAGGGAGTGGAGTGTATTGGTCAGGTAACACAGCATATGCATGCATGCAATTCTGGCAAGAAGCTGTGTGTTATTTGTGTGGCGCTTACCTATTTAATTATGTATTCTACCGATGTACTCCAGGTTTGGTTCTACGCAAATAGGTTTTCCGTCTCTGGTTCCTCTTTTGCATCGATTATATGCCTTCATCCATCCATCCATCCATCTCTCCATCCATCTGCCTAAATATATATATGTATATATCTATCTATATCCGCACTGGGACGAACACCCAGGGGGCGGGGTTTTGCTGTGAGAGTTGGATGGAGGGGGGGGCGGACGGGAGGGGGACGTTGGAAGATGGAAGATGGAGGGGAGTGAACGGACTGGTCGATTGAGATTTGTGGAGATGTGAAAGGAAGGGAGGGAGGGAGGGAGGGAGGGGAGCTGGGGAGTTGGGGTACTTCGGCGGGAGAGAGTAGGTAGCTAGATGTATCCTGCTGGGTTTTGTTCGGAGTTGGTTGGACTCGTTCGTGCCATCCATGCCTGTGGTGTAATCGTCGGCTCGTATATGGATGTATCGGATCACCCCCCGCACTGTGTACCTATCTATCTATCTTATACGCGTTTCTTCGGTTTTCTCGCATCTAATTAAGAGATCATCATTGTTGTGAAAGAGGGTCTATCTGATCACATGAGAGCCTACACGGACCCGTTCTCCTAAGAGAGCTCGAATGTTCTCGCACGCTTGCTGCTCGACTGGATCCTCGCTCCACAGAAGTACACGAAGTAGATGAATGCGCGGGAGATGAAAGGAAAATGAATCCGGTCGCCGCGGCCCATTTCGTCGACATGTTCTCGAATATGGGGACGCCGAGATGGGAGAGCCCGGCGGCCATGGGGGAGGAGCGGATGAGCAACGGTGCTATGGCGGAGGCTGTGGGTGGGGGTACGTACGAGTCTGAAAAAACTGGTATTGGAGTGCGAGCACGAGGGTGTTGATAGGCAAGGAGAGAGGTAAGGAAGAAACGGGAGAATGAAATCTTTATTGGTGATGTAGGTAGCTCAACATACCAAAGCCAGAGCAGCGGGCCCCGGGGTGGTTGTGCCCATGTCTTGTGCGGTCGCGGGCGTAGAGCCAGTTCTGCACGGGGACGAAGGCGAACATCATGGAGACTCCGGCTGCGAAAGTTGGGTATGTGAGATTGGCTGAGATTATCGAGAGGCCGTTGTTGACAACAAAGACACGGAAAACGCCATCGAGGTACAGGAACAGAATAGCGTAAGCGAAGCCGTTGTAGATCCCAAGCAGAAGGACGATAGGCTCCGTCGATATGGTCTTGAAGACCATAGTCGTTACGAACCGCATTTCTTCCCAGACATTGGCTTTGATGGTCAGAATAGCTTGCCCATCTGGGCCCGTATAGGTAGGTTGAGAGCGTCCGTGGTTCCCTGTGGCCTGGTCAGTACGTCTTTACAATTTTTACGTGCACTTGAAATCTGCTCACAAAGCTCAAGATTGCGTAGCAAGCAATCGAAGCTACGTATAGCCACTTTCGGCCTCCAACATCCTAGAGATTTCAGATGCATCTTGTGCTGCAGTCCTATGTGGATTTGGTAGCTTTGCGCAGACTCACGAGAGAGGCCCCACAAACTCAGGCCAATGACTCTGGGTTGGGTGACATGATGATGGCGTATTGACCAAGCGTAGATATTCAAACACTGTCAAGCGAGAAACAGAAGCTGGGACACACTCATCGTTGGGAGACACTCATTGTTGGGATATACATACATATACATAAAGGTATATACATACATGGAGTTCAAAACACCCTCGGCCCACCCAACCACTGCAACACGCTTCACCACGCACCCACATTTGCGGGGACCGGGAGACATGTAGGGACGAGACGAGACGATTAGCCACGGCCGTGGTCCCTCTAGCTCATATCATGGATCTTTCGCGGTTCGGCTCCAGTCGGGACGGCTCATGGAGACATCTCCTGGTAGTCCGACCATTGATGAGGATCTAAGGATCCACATGCCAACGAATATATATACAACAGCCGCGGCGTCGTCAGGATCAATCTGCGCAGCATCATCTATCTGATGACCAGGGCGGACGGCTGAATGCCGAGTCAATAATGGTGGAACCTAGCATCAGTAGAGCCAAAAGAGCAGAGCGATAGTATCCCGTGTGGTCTGTGGTGGTGATTCGTGAAGTATCAGGAAAAGGAGAGTTTCGCTGATCGTCGTGCCGAACCTTCGAATTCCCGTAAACTCACGGTAGGGAGGAAGCTTGTCTAAGTGCGAAGCTTCCGGGAAGCTCCATTGACCGGAAGCGAAAAGTCTTTTTCTTCATGGGTGTGGCCATATCATGCACCACTACGACACGTGATCTCTGTTTACATCACCCCTTTAGATCCAGTTCGAGACCGACAGTGAGCAGCGACTAGGTAATCAAGAGCCCGCAGATCAAAGACTAACGGTTAATAGACATTGCACTACCTATGAGCCGTTCAAATGTGGGAGTGGTAGTGGAAGTGAAGGTGGAAGCTAAGTTGTTATTTTTTTTTAGCCAGACCTCGATGACAGGAGAGAGAGAGAGAGAGAGGACGAGAGGACTACAGAACTCGAGATGACCTAGGGGATCTTCAATGCAAGCGTGCGTCTGGTTCGTGGGCATTGTTCGTGGCCATGAGAAGTGGCAGGCAGGCGACTTTTTACCTTTGGAAGTAGGAGTTGTGCCCGGAGGATCTTTGTCGAAGGTGATCGAGCAGCTCAATATCCTCGCTTTCCTTTGAACTTCGGCGCTCTGAGAACATTCCATGTCCATTCAAGGGCATTCATCCCGTAGCAGTAAAGATTAGAACCTAAACTGGCTACTAATAATATGGAGCGGATTAGCCCGTAAAGCTATTGTGAGGGGGGAGGGGGGGGGTGCGTAGCCTCACATTCACTCCCCTTCACTTTCCCCTTCACCTCCGCTTCACCTTCACCTCCACCTCCACCTCACCTTCACCTCACCTTCAACTTCACTCACCTTCAACTTCACTCACCTTCAACTTCACCTGGCCATCGCCTCATTAGCGCCCCTCCCACAAACACTGAACCATAAAATAAGTTTCATCACAGCTCCCCTTGCAACTTCCCCCATCCCATCCCATCCCATCCCATCTTTTCTCGTCCCGTTCCCCGTCGACCTTATCCTCTCTGGCCCAACTGTTCAACTGTCCAACACCTCGACAACTTTTGCATGGCAGTGCCTCTATGCCTCACACAACCTCGATAGGACACCACAACAGACAGTCCCAACTGACCCGACTCACTCGACTCGACCCAACCAGAATCAACCTAGAAACAGACATAGCAGACTGTTGAACTAGAAGCATCCGATCTTGGTAAGTCGGTGCCCCCCTCCCCCCGTCTGTAGGACAATGACTGACGGATAGAACCTCCTTCCAGCTTTGCAGATCCAAAACATAGCCAGAGCCAGAGCCAGAGCCAGCCAGCACTTGCTCCTATACCCAACAACATCAACTCTCAGTCCCAGCAACACGCCGACACACCTATACCCTTTCGCATATCCGCCGACAGTATGATCCGAATGACCAGATCCAGGCGCGCGGCGGAAAATTCTTTCCTGAACTCGGGTCCTGTACAGGTTCGGGGGGCGGGCAACCACAACCTCCGCGCAACACGCATGCAGACGACGCAAACAATAGTACCTCCAGAGGCTCGCATCAGGAGAGACATTGTCGCACCAAGATTGCGCATTCCCGGAAGCCTAGACATAGACGAGGGCACCGAAGAAGAATACAACATATATGGTGAGGTCGAGCTCGCTACCAGCCTTTCCGGCAACTCTACCACGACCCCAAGGGTAAACCGGGATACCGGCGGCGCCAAAATCTTCCGAAGCCTGTCACTCGAGGTATGTATCTTTCCTTCTTGTTCGTCTTCGGTGTTCATCCTTGCCTCCCAAACCTTCACTTCTGCTTTCATGTTAGCTCCACGACATAATAGACCAACTCCTTCTCGCATAATTCGACCTCTCAAGAGTCTGCATCTCGTGCGCACATGACCTACCTACCCTTACCTGTTTGATACTTCGAGCCTTGACTAACTCACCTTTGTGCAGCTTCATCAAATGATTGCTCTGTATCTCCCTGAAGATGAGGACCTCATCAACTATTCTAGGATCTGTAAAGAGACTTTACCTACCATTACTTGCAGTGTCTGGCGCAAGCGCTTTCTCCAGTACTTCGACGGCGTTAAAGGATTCAGCCCAAAAGATCTGACTTGGAGGTATTTATTCAGAAGAACTGTTTGTCAAAATTGGATTGTCTTTGACCTGAGGGGTCTCGGACTTCCTCGTATTGACACGGGAACACAAAAGCTCCAAAGATACTATCAGGAGAGGGTACTGCAGGTCATCCAAGGTGTACTGCTCGGTGAGTTATAACCAAGAAGCGTTAAGAAAGAAAGGTGGCTTACAATGTGAACAGAATCAAATGCTTCCGTGTGCCAAGACGAGACTGGGAACATAGTTGTCCGAGGCTCGAACTTGTCATTCATCGCCGACTTGCTCACTGGCCAGAACGGTACTTCATACCTCGACATTGTTGACTCTGTATTCAACACCAGCTTTTTCGACCAAGAAACCGCAAATTCTCTTCACCGGGTCGTCACCGCAGCTGACAAAAATACCCTGATCTATGTCCTCCAGCTCTGCCTAACACCATTCTCTCTCCACCCGAACTACTGCAATCACAGAGTCAACCACTTTGATATCTCACAATTCCACGCATACTCTGGCCCCCGCACCCAGCCGGTCTGCAATGGAGTCTTCAAGCAGCAGGTCAACGTGCGATGGCTTCTGCATGTGGTAAACTTCTTCAAGTTTCACTTGAAGTCCGAAGGTGAGGGTCTGCTAGCTCATGAGTACAAGGAACTGGAACTTGATGAGATCCCCCAGTTTTGGGTTGGTCATATAATGGGAGGCACCCAGCCACTGGGGCGCCACTGGAAGGGCGCATACAGTAATTATTACTTCTCGCCAGCTGCTCCATCTGCTAACTGAGGTCAGCGTACATGGACGACACCTCCCTGGCGAGCTTGAGAGTTTGGGACGGACAAAATGGCGATATCCACACAGACGCCCTAGATGGTGATGAGGGATTTCAGGATATTGACATGTTCTTTGACGACGCCAGTAATTCGAAGTTCCCTTGGCCTGCAGATTGGGAGGCGGTCCTCTGCTCAAATCCTTTCGACGACATTCACCAACAGAACTACGCCAAGAGGAAGAGAGTTCCACCCCAAAACCTGCCGGGTGTTAGACAGTTCTGGGGCAGCTGCAGAGGTGCGAAGAATGGACACTTCTTTGGACGTGTTCATGCCTTGACGGTGCAACAAGGATTCCACGGCTTCCAACGCATCACCCTGATCAAGTACTATACCCAGGTTAACCACAATGGCGAGCACGTCTACGATCCAAATCAAGTCTGGGCGTATGAGGGCGTCGTTCTTCCAGGTGGCCGAATCATCGTTGGGCGTTGGTGGAGTGCTAGGGGCAATCCGGACAGCAACGATACCATGTGTGGTCCGTTCATGTGGTGGAATGTCGACCGAAGTGGCCCTGAGGCAATCGATGAGAATGAGGCATTGGATTTCTTGAAATCGTTCCAGGATTATATTGAAGTTGCTTAATCACTTGGCAAGCTTCTTCTACCTGACTCAGATCATCTCCCGGCAATATTATCGAACCGATACCCCAATTTTGACAACTCGCGTCGGTTCTCTCAACACCCTCGGATCGATACCTGAAATCTCCCAACATCGTACATATCAACGGCTATATGCACATATGCGCTTGGCAACAGCTGACTCATTCTGGAGAAACTGCTCGAATAATGCCGATAGGCATCGTTTTGTACGATCTCGATACCGTCACTGCTGGCATCCTCCTTCACAGCACACATGACATATCTCAGACCTCCGAATTTTCTTCAGATGGATGAATATCCGTCATGTTTTTCTTTCTCTCTTCGCAACGATTTTACAACACACTCCTCTGAGTTTCCGGCCATTTTGCCTCACACACTCTCTCTTGTATTTACTGATCGAAGGTGGCGGCACGACACACTCCTCTGAATATTCCGGCCATTTTGCATCGCACACACTCTCTTGTATATAATGATCGATGGTGGCGGATGGTGGATAGACAAGTGGAGGATAGGATAGGGAGGGTAGTCGGTTGGTTGGATTGCGCTACCGTGGCGAGCTTGTCTATAGATCCCGAACCAATAACTAATCAAGTGTCTTCTTGAGAATACCTGAAGTTTACCAATTGCGTGCGCAACGTTACGGCGTCGAAGTGAGCCACACGTTGAGAGACTATGGCCCAGGCACCTTCCACCAGATTCAGGAATCGAGTTACGACACCCTCGCCCACATGCCGACCCTCGGCTCTCTGACAGCAGCCCTTTCTCTATAAGCCCCGAGGTGGATAATTGATTTCCAAGTACCTGAGAGTCCTTTCATCCGCGCCATTCTCTCCATGTGGGAACGCAAGGCATAGGCAAAGGTAATATATAGCAGCAAATGCTTGGGGAGAGATGAGGTCGGCGGCTCTCAGCGTTGACATTGCATTGCATATAAGCCAAACCGGAAGGATATCTGGTCTGTCTGTACGTATGTATTCGATTGTTTTGTTGCATTGTATTGCATCGATTGGTATTGTGACGCGCAGCCCCCATCTCATGCTCTGATCCGTCCAAGATACTCCCCCGTGTTTCTTGCGCGTTGTCTCTCTTTCTTCGCTTCTCCTTTCCGAAGTTTACTTTCCAGCCGGGCAGGGAGATGGGAGATTGAGAATGAGGCCAGCAGCTGCTCTCCGGTTGCGTGATGGAGTGACGGAGAGATAGACGGCACTGATCCTCGGGAAAGAGAAATCTGCGTCATGTCAAGTCCGTTGCATAAGTCGTGGATGTGCCGTACAAGAAAGTCGGTATCACCCCCCTTTCCCCCCCCCTCCCTTTGCCAAAGGGTGTTCCAGGAAGAATGGATCATGGAGCGGCAGTCTCTGTCCTGATGGGAAATCGATGGCCCTTGGGGGGGGGGGGGGGGGAAACAGCATCCATACATAAACAAAGCCCTCCTCGCTTGTCAACGACAGAAAAAAGTATTTATGCCTCCAACACGAAATTTTTGTAAATCTTAGAGATCTTTCAATCCACACCCATATAACTATGTATATGTTATGTGATGAGAAAGAGTAGCTGGAGCTGGAGCTGGACGAAAGTAGTTCCGAGATTTCGCCGATAAGCGACAAAGAAGGCGTTCCGAACGTTTCGTTCAGACGAGCGTTGATATTCGGATGGGCCTTTGAGAATGAATAAATGAGGTTGGAAAAAGCGATAGGTAGTGCGCTGATGATGTGCCGAGTTTCGTGTAACGGGTGAGTGAAGGGGCGTCCTGACTTTTGCGCTGGGAATATTATCCATGGGCGGTGATGGTTGCCCGAAGATATGTGTGAGAGAGAGAGAGCTTCTTCCAGCGAAGCGATGGAGGGACGGACGGACGGACACGACCGTGGCTTCCAGAGCTGCTTATACAGATAGCAGAACGAGAACGGTGCTTTGAAAATGGGCGTTGATGCTCGAGGCCATCGGATCGGGGTATGGATGCCGAGTCAGGCAGGGCAAGCCGAAATCTCAACGCGGTCCTGCCTAAGCGCGGCCCGAAAACTGCGCAACCACCTCCCCAACCAAAAAAAAAAAAAAAAAAAAAGATGAAAAGAATTTACATTCAAATGACAAAAGAAACTCCCCAACCGAAGGGGAGAAGAAACACCCAGTCCATCTCTGGGGATTTGCTTTTGATCCGGCCGCCATATCCTTTTAACCCCTCCGCGGAATCCGATTCGCCCCGAACTTCTCCTACTGAGCCAGTCTGCCTGTCGCGATTCCCGATACCACGAGAGGTTTATGGGGTAACATGTAGGTGTTAAGGAAATGCCGGTGTAGCTCGGCCGAGGATCTGCCGCTCAAAGCTGGCTGGCGTTGGAGACGAGCTTGCTAGAGTGATGGCGCGGCGATAAGTCTAACAACGAATTTGAATTCGGAGTCCTTAAGAAAAAAGATTAAAGCGATAAAAACAATTCTCACATGGAGAGATTGATGGCCCGGCAATTGGTAGTCTGGAGGAACAGATGGGAATCGAGCGAGCCAAAAAAAAAAAAAAAAAAAAAAAAAAAAAGAATATAAAAAATATATGAAAAAAATGGTACATCCAAAAGACAAAAGAAACTCCCCGAAGGGAGAAGAAACACCCAGTCCATCTCTGGGGATTTACTTTTGATCCGATCGCCATATCCTATCTCCTCCGGAAGCCAACTTTGCCCCGACTTAGGAGCTTCTTCTCCTCTAAGCTGCGAGTTGCGGTTCCTTGAAAGCGACAATTCATCTTGTTATAAGAACCCCATAGGAATTTGTGCACACGGACTGGGAGTGCCGGGGATCTGCCGGGGGCGGCAGTAGTAACGTAACGTGCGAGGGAGGTGGCGAGCTGGCTCCAAGCTGGCTAGTGGACGCAAAACCCAAAGACGAAAGCAAAGGAGCGAGGAAGCAAAGGGAGGCTGAACTTTGAATTCTGTCATGGGTTGGACTACAGACCCAGGTTTCTTCGAATCGAAATCTTGCTGATACAAAGTGCCATAGTTCCTTCGCCCGACATCGAGTCCGACTATCGATCGAGGCAGATATTCCAAACACCAGATATATCCTATCAGAGCATAACCCCAGATCACCTCTGCGACGAGCTAATTACCAGCATACCCCAATCATGTTGGCGAAGAAGAGGACATCTATCTGGGCCTGGGATGTTCTGCCGAGTCGCGTTACGAGGATACGCGGAAGAAACTTGGGCACAGCATGGCATTATTGGCGTCCAGGAATACCAAGCCGACACTACCTCAAGCTCTCCGCGAGATGAGCGACGACAGATGGCTATCCTATATAACACAAGGGTTCATTGCGCTCAGAAGAGAAACCAGGCCCATTATATCAGCGTCGTGGCGAGGTGCAAATCTTTAAGTGGGTGGGTATTGAGGTGTCGGTTCGAGCCACTGGAATACGGATTTTAATAATGGCACCGGATATGAAGAATGAATGGTCCTTGGGCGAGGTCTATGGTGACATGAAGGTCCTTTTGCATGTCACAGGTAATACACCAGCATATTGGATTTTAGGCTGGCAGGCGGCAAGGCGTTACCCGGATAGGGGAAGACGACTTGGAATGGCGTTGTGCAAGAACACTATGAGCATCGTGAAATAGGATTGGTCCGGATATATTGGACGAAATCGATTCGAACAAGAATATGTTGGCCGCAGTGTGGATTGGCAGGATCCCAATCTACCGTGTTGGGCAAAGGAGCCATATAATGTTCGTGCGAGCGACAAATCCACCTAGCTGGAGGTGACCAAATTGAACATTGGAACCCGGTCACTGAAAGCAAGAAAGGCATGGCAATTACGCTTTGCTGAAGAATGTTATTCAAGAAAGACCATGCCCCTCTAACCATACACCCTGTCCTAGGTCGACCCATTCAAGTACCCTGGGATGGTTGGCACATGCAACACTGGTGACTGTGATGCTCTGATAAAATCGACGTCCTGGTAGCGTCCTGATAGGTGATCGTGATATATCCAGAATATTGGAGCTCGTCGTGTCTTTGCCTCGGGTCGAATTCGTACCAGGTTAAGGATCCATCCTAAGCGAGAGAATCCAGATATGCAGCAAATAGTCGAACAACAGAATTGCAACGCGTCTCAAAGAGCAGTTTATAGCAATTAAATAGCAATTAAATAGCAATAAAACAGCAGTAAAATAGTAGTCAAATAGCAATTAAATGGCAGTTGATTGGCAGTTTAAGTAGACGATAGCGAATAGATGGCGTTGTTCCAGAAATTCTGGAATTCTGTGCGCACTTTGGAATAAGAGATAATATTTTTTATCCTTATGGAAGCGGCTTGACGACCACGGGTTTTCCCAGATTAAGGAAGCCACAAAGCAACAATAAGAGTCCGTGCCTTGCACTGGGACCTTTGTATAATTTCTCTCATTCGAATTCTAAAGCTTACAAGCTTTTCGTTCCCCGAAACGCCATGACCATCTCCCGATGCCAGAGAGCCTCTACTCCTCAATAGTCTTCACACACTCCCATTCGCCCCTCAGATTCTCCTTCCAGAGACTGACTTTATTATCACCCGCACTGACCGCCAATACGTTCCCACTCAAACTCCAGCTCACTCTCCATAGTACCACGTCAAAGTTCAACACCTTGCTATTCCATACGCCCGGCTGGCTAGGATCGCTCGTCCAAATCCGAACTGTCTTGTCTTGACTAGCGGATGCAATATAGCTCTTTTGCAATACCGTCGGTGACCATGCAACATCGCGTACCCAGTCGGTATGTCCCGTCAGTGGCTCTCGCTCCTGTGTGTAATTTTGTGACGCAGCGTCGAAGCTCCATAATCTCAGCATGTTGTCGCTACCACCTGTAACAAATCTCCTAACTCCACCCTGACCACCTGCGCTCGAGACCAGCGATCCAGGGGTGGTGCTTGGTGCCCAGGATACAGAATTGACTCCGATGCCATGCGCATGGAAGATCTTGTGGTCCATTGAGTTGTCCTTGAACTCCAACACAGACACATTGCCGTCGGATGAAGCGCAGGCGAGTAAGCAGCCAGATTCGTGGGGAGACCAGGAAATGATATTCACAGATGCAGTATGCAGGGCGAAATCGAAGACCTTAGTCCAGGCAGTGCCTTGTTCGCGCCATATGAAGACCTTGCCATCGTAACCAGCTGAAGCCAGGATATTGCCATATTTCGGGTGTGCCCAGGACACCGACCAGACAGCGCCTTCGTGACTGGGCGATGTTAGTTTCGTTTCCTGGGGAGCAGACAGGGAAACTTGCCCTTTGAGTGTCTCTGTGAGACGATGCGATTCGCCTTCAACTTCGAAGATCTTGACAGTCTTGTCAGAAGAGCAGGTTGCGAGTCGTCTTCCGTAATAATCCAAGACCGCATCATGCTGTGGGGACAGTTAGCCATTTGAGCTGGAAAGCGCGCTATTGCGACTGCTACGCTCGATTCGGTGGAAAGAAAGCAGGACCTACAATCATGTCGTCATGACCCGAGTTTGAAATAACTTGTGCCATCTTAACACAGACCGTGGTATGTTTTGGTCAAGAGGTGGAGGTAGGACAAATCTTGTCTTCATCTCCTTGAGCTTCAAGCCAGCCTGTCAAGGACTCACCGGTGCCGTCGCGCGGCGAAACATTTCTCCGATGAGCTCCGGTGCCAGGGCCGGGAGCAGCTCGGCTTGTGACAATCGCCTTCCGATGCGCGGGGAGAGTACACTTTAGTATCTTAACTAGATCCAACTCCATTCACCTTTATGCGACTCTCGGCTCTTTGAATACAGACTGCTATATATTCATATAAATTCACTCATTCCATAACATTCACCGCAACTACCGTTTTTTGCATACACTGGCCTTGAGCTCCGAGCAGTCGTTGTTAACTTGCCTCGGCTCATTCTCACATCGAAGTTCTCTCTCAGTTGGACGGGAATAACGTTGCTTAGCAGTCCAACATAGCTCAGATACAATCCCCATGGCAGACTCTTTGTGCGGGCCATCAAATGCCCTCCAAAATTTCCAGAAGCATAGCACAGTCGACCGGACGTTACAGCAAGATCGACTAATAGGCAGACAGTCGCCTGCTCAAGTGTGCCTCTCCTATTTGAACCATGACTTGAATGCAGTTGACACTTCGATTAGGGCTTTCGATCCTCTCCTGGTCCGAACGCAGGTTTCTTAAATCCAGAATTCGAGGCCTTCCAGGCTGGACAGCTACCCTTAGATCAAGGCTTTCAACCGCACGGATTTGCTCATGCGCCTCCAAAACTACAACAACAATCAGACTCATCAGCTTGGAGCTCTGATTTCCAACGACTACAGATATCGAGTCCTGTCCAGCAGTTCAACCAACAACAATTTGGCCCACAAGTACACCAGAGACAAGATGACGGAGGGTGGCAACAGGAGTTCTCCCGGCAGCAGGGCCAAATGAGCGAGAGGAGTATGGGGAAGATGCCGAGCCAAACAAATTCCGCTTTCCGTCCTATGGGGGGAATGGGAATGAGCCAACAATATATGAGAGGCTTTGCCGGACCTCAGGTGGAAATTGCGATGGCTCAACAGCAGCAACCGGTAGAAGTCTTTGACGAAGCGGCGTTCGCCCGTGCGTTCGACGAGGCAGCAAATGCAGAAGTAGAAACTCAGCAGGGAACCAGCAAAGAAGAAGAATACCAACAAGGTCTTGAGCTAGGTCAAGACACCCTAGTCAGAGAATCGGTAGAACGTATGATGGAAGACTCTACTGGGTTGCTGGACCAAGAACGTATCGGCTCAGACAGAATCCACGATCCTCGCTCTCAATCCCCAGAAGCCTGGGCACAACAAGGCGACCCAGACGCTTTGGCTAAAACAGCTGCTGAGCTATTAGACAAGGTGGAACGCAACCAGAGCTCGAAATTTCAGAACAGCCAATTTCTCCAGTTGATGCGGCAGCTGAGAAGCAAGGAAGCAACGATCCGAGACGACGAGTTCGTGGTCGATGTAGAAGGGATGCGCCGAGAATCACAGAATGTTTCGAGTTGATGATGTGTATAATAGACCAATGAACCCGAAATGGGGCACAGAAAACAATAAGGGAGTTTTCATAATGGTTTAAAGACAATTCAGTCTACCAATTCCGAAACTGGAAACATTTTCAAAATTTCCGTATATCCCACCTTTCTTTGACTATAAGTTGTACGAGATAGCCAGGGTTATGGTTGACCGAAAAACGTTCACAGAACTGATTCTCCCCGATGCGACCCTTACAAAATTTTCTGGTGATCAGCCTACCCCTTGATACAGCCCGTAGCCATCGTTGATCTATGAAATGTCCTGCCTGATACGTCCTTTGGAATTGATGTCGCGAAATCCAATTCAGAATAAAAATCTGATATGGGAGCATTACTATCACTATATAGTAACAAATATATAAGCATCCGCTGCAAGTAAGGATATCCTCTCCGCTATTCCGCGCGGATCTTACAAAGCAGGAATAGAACAGTAACAACAGTCGTCAGGAAATGTGTAGTAGTTGCGATGAGAAGCATAGGTAAGTAAGTACCTAGGCACAATGCTCACGGTTCACGGTACGAAGCAGACTTACTTGTCAACATCACTTAGAAGAACAGATGGATTGATAACTCACCCACTCTTGTCCGATCCTCGTCGTCGCTGCAATCCCGATGCGATTCCGAAATCGCGGTTTGCGGAAACGTTGCCAGACAGCCTCTTCGCGGCCTGTGAGCGTTTGTGTTTTTGTTTACTTCCGTCGTCAATTTGATTTTTCGGGAAGGCTTCCGGGAATTGCATTGCTAACCGAGATGGTAGTACGGTACTCTGTAGATGCATGCGGGACGGGAGGATCGATCTCAGCCAAGTAAGTACAGACACGAACTTCTGTCGCGGCGTTTTCCTTCCTCTCTCGCGCAAGAGCTGGCTGGTCATTGTGATTTTGATTTACGGCTATTACTTGTCTCGGGAAAGCCTACGGAACGGAGACTGATCTTTTTGGGGGAACTGCCTTGGCGGTTATTTTAGTTGTTTTTGAGGTAATCCTTGCTGGAATATTCAGTGCATTTACTTGATTAATACGAAAGTGATGCGTTTGGCCTATTGAACACTCTATGGATCTTGAAAACCGCTGAGTGCGACTGCAAGTTGGGAAGGTACGGTAATACAGTAATACCGTATAAAGCCTTCAGACTGCCGCGCGGGGGACGTGCATGAGAAATGGAGTCGTTGACAAGGTCTGGAAATTGGACCAATATCTACTTTGCTAGGATAAACAACATCAACAACATCTTCTCACCAGGCCTACCAGAGACTTGCATCCAAACAAAATATGCGGAAAGTCGCAGCCACGAGCTCCCGCACGCTACATCTGTAAGTGTTTGGGATTGGACCGTTGCAAAAGAAGAGCGCTAGAACGTTCTGAAACTTCAGTTAACTTTGGTAACCTTTGTAACAACCTTGGAATTGCAAACACCTGATAGCCAATAGAGCCGAGCTACTTAAGCGAGTGGCGGTCAAGCGAACAGCATGGACGTCAGACCATACGGATATGGTATGGTAGCACAGTACAAACAACCTACTTCGATTAAGGTAGGCCATATTGGTTGTCTGTTTGCAATTCCTTTCGTAACCCAGTGACTACAACGTATACAGGTAGGTAGCTCGCTACCATTCTACTTAGTTAGAGGCATGGAAAACCAATCGGAACACACTTACACCCAGAAACACATACAGTACCTACTTGCATCATTCATCCCCCGTGATACCAGCAATAAGTGGGTTTTTTATACATCGAATGAAACTACATCAAACTGATTTGGCCCGGCGTTGTAGGTGCTACAAGACATTACCAAGCAAGGTAAGGCGAGTTAGTTAGGACCTACTCCTAATACTTCCGTCAAGGTCCAGTGAGCGGCGCTTGTAATCTGCCAATGCCGTGCGTAATCTGTAACGAGACGCCCGCAAGTAGCTGCGGGAGTTGTAATTCATCCGCCTGCTGCTCCAAGAAGTGCCAGCAGCTCGACTGGCCCCTCCACAAGACCCTCTGCAAGAAGCTCGCGAGGCTGCTCACAGCCCGACCCCAGCCCAGCTCGAAACTCGGCATCCTGCTGCGCGCCGAAGACCCGAGCCGCGCCTCGTCTGGTGCCGTGCCCGAGAGTCAGGCCGCTGCAGCAGGGGACCAACACCGCCGCATCACACGACGCGCCGGTCGTGGAACCGCTGCTGGGAGATCCTCACGCGGCAGAGAGGTTCAAGATTTCCAATAACGAGGTCCGGGGTAGGCGCTCGAGAAGACGATTTGCCTGTACGCCCGCGACAACTGGCCGAACGATGGCTCGAAGCCGAAGCAGGCTGCGCTGGCGCTGACGGATTGGGAGCTGCCGTACGACTGGAGCCGAATTATCCTGATCATGAGCCACGCGGAGGTCGTGGGGAGGAACCTACAGCCACCCCCGAAATCCAGAACTTTGCTCACCATGTCCGTTCTGGACGAGGGCGGGCAGCTGGAGCCCTTCAGAGATTTCCAGGACGTGACCCTGGGAGACTTGAGGACGGCGGTCGATTACCTGTCTCGCTACGGCATGGTCACCCAGCGGGGAACGGAAAACTCGAGCCTCAATATAACTCAGGCCGATAAGAAGGCACCCAAGTCGAAATTGCAGAAGATGATGGAGAAGATGATGGCGTCTCAGGCCGAAGAGGTCAAGAAAACAAAATTCAAAGGCGTATTGATCAGGTGTGCAGGCAAGATTAGCCTCCTTATCAAGCAATCCAAGAAAGCGGAGAGATATGGCGCAGTTGAAATGGCCAAAGATCACCCAGTTTGAAAATAACAGCCAACCGGGGCATGAAATATCATGGGGCTTCCGCTCCTCGTATATAAATTGTCCCCAAACCCAGCGTGGGATCACGACAACCGTGAATTTTTGTATTTTTTGGCAAATCGACTCCCTAGCTCCTGTCCTCCGTTCTCAACTTGTACCAGACTGGTCAGCTCTCAAAAGTCTTCCGCAAGTATATTACTGACAGGAAGGTTTTCTGAAAACAGACACGCCGTTCGTCAGCCAATCCGCAACCTCCCTCAACCTCACCTCGACCCCAAGATCGACGCTGAATGGGGCTTCCCACCTCCCACATGGCAGTCCCAAATCGGGAGCGTTCTTCTCGTCAGGCAGGATGGCAAAGAGCTCACTTGCAAGCAGGCACGGGCCTTGGCTGAGTACATGCAACATCACGTTCCCGATTCTTTCGAGGAAGCCCTGGAATCAGAAGAGGAGAAGCAGAGGCGCTCGCAGGTGCTGAAGACGCTGAACTGGACGGCCTTTGACTCTTTCTGGACGGCTTCAAGGCCGGGACAAGTGCTGCCGAGGGGAAATCTTGGGCTGGGGTCCGGTCTCATTTTGGAACGAGGGAGGATCACCTTGGGCAGTCTTTCTGACGAGGGGTGCCAGGAAGGGCTCTGATACCGTGTATCCATAGCAACTTGGGATGTTCAATATGTTATCTGAAAACCCCCAAGCGGCAGGTCTGAGCGTGTTCCATTGGCATTTCTGTCATCGGTCCGAACGCTAGTCGTCTCTCTCACAAGGAAAATGTCATGCGAGATCCTCCTAGTGAAGCGGTAATCTACGTCAGCTATCCTTTACCAGCGAGATGCCAGGTTTGATAGAGAGAGAAAAAAATGCGTTATCGACATTGACGTTGTGGCCAAGATCAGGTCTTTCTTTCCGGAAAGGCGATGATAACTGCAATCCCGCAAATCGGGACCATTTCCCACTCATGCATATGCATTGCTGACAAGGTCTTGCTTGTCCAAAATTCGCTTGTATCATCACAACACTCATGCGCCGCAACCAGTTAGTTTCACGATGAAACTAAAAGCTTAAAAAAGCTTCGGATGGGCCTTATTAGATCGTCATGGTCCGCTGACTTCAGAGAAAAAGTTCCGGCTGAACTAGCAAGTGCTTGGGTAGAGAGTTGAAGCTTTTGAGGTGTATGTTGTTCTGCTCGAGATGTCTCTCCCTGGTAAGGTGACCCCGACCGGCTTCCAAGCTTCCTTCTCCCCCCCCCAGCGAGGACTGCGCTCTGTGTATCCAAGAATAATCTCGCGAAATGCAAAAGACTAAACTTCACGCGTGCTGATTCTTAAACAGCACTGGTACAGAACCACACGGGGAAATCGGTTTACACCACGCCACCGCAAACCCCACCCACTGCGCATTCCCACGACCCGATTGCAAACCCAGACGACCTAGAGGGTATAGAGGAAGAAGAAGCGACAGACGATGACAAGAGACAGTCAATTAATGCCATTATCGCACTTGGCGATAAAGAAACAAATGGCGCGATCGACTCTGACCGACAATTTCCACCAGAGATTCCTGCAAGACCTGGCGGCAGGGAGTTTCCCATCTTTCCTGCAGTAAAGAAAGAGCCGCCTCAGCTCCCGGCGAGAGCACCGGAAGTGCTTCCCATTCATCCTCCGAGACCAATACCCGACTTGCCACCAAGAGCTGCGCCCGCTAGTCCAGTGATTCCGAGCCCGGCAGTCCCTCCTCGAAGAATCCCGAATGTCGATGAGCCCAACAACCACTCTTCATTGAAATACTCCCGGGACCCTGAGAGAATGATTGCGTATCTGATTCCTCTCCCAAAGCCTAAGTACAGCGAAAAGGAGGATGAGATGCCCGAGGTAAGTGCAAACGCTGTTCGAAGAACCAAATGACATGGAGAAGAAGCTGACATCCCTAGCGTTTCTTGGTGTATACACCACCTCAGCCACACTTTTTGAAGCCTGCAGAAGGTGTGAAGGAGCCAAAAAAGCAGCGTGGTAAGAGGAAATTGCAAGAAGAGGTGCAGAAAGCAGAGAAGTATGACGGCAAGACAATGTCGTGGCGAGGCTTGCACAGCAAGACGACGAAAGGGGTAGTATGGGCTATTCGCCGCATCAAGACCACGGACATTACCTTCCTAGGCCGCATCCAAAACAAAGGCGAGTGAAGCTGTCTTTCTCGAAACATGCAAAACTAATGTGCAGATAGAGGTCGACGAAATCGTACTCATCTACCCAGGCAGCGTACAGCAGACCGTTCCAGAAATCCACGCCGAGTTCATCGCGCGCATTGGCCGCAGCAAAAAGAGAGCCACGAGGGATGCCGTCATCTCTACCGCCCTCCTCCCCGTAACGCTCGTGATCGACACCATCGCCGTCGTATTCTGGCCCTTCGGAGGCCTCTTCGAGGTCGATGCAGTGTGGGCCTACGCCTCCATTAAAGCGTGGAACACCTCCCGCGTCATAACCAAGCGCCTTGGTGTGCGCGAGTCCCGCTTCGGCCGATTCGGAGGGACTGAGAGAGACCTGCGCTTACGGTTCCACGAGGAGGCCAAGGTGGATGTGCTGAGGCGGTCCTTGGCTGATGCGTGCCATAGAGCTGATCCACAGATGTTTGAGAGCGCTGGGGTGCCGCCCACAGAGACGGAGGTTATAAAGGCCATCGGCTGGGTGCCGGTCATGAGAGGGAAGACGGGAGGGGAGAGGGAGGAGGGCGAGACGGGCTGGGCGGACGAGGAGTGGCAGCGGGCTGCTTTTGGGAAGGATTACAGGGCGTCTATGGATCGGGGGGCGAAGAGCTGGGTGAAGTGGTGTGAGAAGTTCGAAAAGAATCCGGAGAAGATGCTCAAGAAGTAGGAAGGGGAGGGGGAAGGCAAGGGGCATGTGGACGGATGGATCTAGGCGAAACTTAGGCGAAATCTAGACTGGCTCCAAACTATCAGGTTTGGGACCCTCGCCATGCCATCCAAGCGTGTGCGTAGTCCTCGAATCCAGCTACTCCAAGCGCTTTTGAAATTTCTGCTCTCCACCAAGTCTGGCCACCCGTGCCTGGAGCAGATAGGTCCATCCCGGAGGAGAGTCGAAACTCGGGCTTGATCCAGCCCAGAGGGAAGTAACCAGCAACTTCAAAAAGTCAACTATCCCGACCCTCCCTGGGATCGGCTCATCCTCCACAATGATAGTTGTAGGTCCGAGATCAGCATGATACAAGATGACAGAGCAGTCCATACCAATTTCTTTACATCCGGCTTCAATATTGGCCGAGCCGAACCCGCTGCCGCCCCTCGGAGTGCCAAGGTAGCATTCGAGCCTGTTTTGATCGTCCAAACCACCAAGCCCAGCCCCTTTCCATTCTGCCATTTCCTTGCAAACATCTACGATAGCATTCACGTAGTGGCGTTTCCAGTATTCGTTGAGACTTTGCCATGCAGTGTCTAGAGTCCGACCTGGGACTCTCCGGAGAAAGAGGTAGGATCGGTCACTACCAAAGGCGTGATGTAGAACTTTTGGAATCTCAAAGCTGGGTCGTTGATCTCGGACAAAGTTCGAAGTGACTGATTCAGGCGTGGCACCCTCCTCGATGTACCTGAATTTACACAAGGCGTTATTTCCTACAGACCAGACAGCAGAGAGATCGCCAACGTCATGGACCAGCTTGATGTAGAGGCTGTCGGGCGGTGAGGTTGCCACGATAAGGGGTAGCTTGAATTATCACTGTCAACGTTCCAGGTAGCCGTATCTGAAGGAGAGGGGCATCGATGGAGCAAGAGATCACCGATCAGCCAAGTGTTTGAATCGATTTGCTTGAGGGATTTGTTGATGTGGTCCTCGCCGTATTCTTTTACGACAACCATTTTGCGGTGAGTTGATGGTACTTTTGTATTGTTCGTCTGGTTTTGTACTATTCATCTCGTGGCCGTAGCCTGCGTATGAAGTGGAAGGTCCAGGTGTGCTGGAGAAGAAAAAGGAGAGATGTTCATGAAGATGTTTATGAACAGCGAACGGGAATATGTACATATCCACTAGCGCTGCGATCATTTATCATTCACCCCTAGCAGCGTGACCAGTTTCACAATGATATTCATTAAGTGACAGCTTTTTGGAATGTGACTTGTAATATAGTCAGTACTTGTATAACACTAATAGCCATCAATATCACTTTTGCCATTCACTCTCATCCATTAATCACGGGACTTCTTACCGCCTTGATTATTTTATAATATACCTTATCTTCGCATAACACTGGTGGTACAGAATACGACCAGATCACAGGCTGAGGAGAACTGGGCATCCCGTCCGCTCTGCCATACGTAAGCCTCAGAGCGGCAGAATAGTGGTTGGGTGAGTGACCGACCACCAGCGGATTCCTGCTGCTGTATGTTTCTGCTCTCATTTTGGGCGCCCATTGTTCAGCATGCTACCTGGAGAATTAAGAATCGAAGGTTTAACTTTGGCAAGCAGCAGGAAGCGGGTGTGAAATAGAAGAGCAAGAGAGGCTTGGTCAACCACACTTCATAGTGGGCACGAAAAGAGGTGGCCCGGAATGGCTGCGAAGACGTTGTCCATATCTTTCGATACGGGGATACTTCGTAAAATATTTTGTTAATCAATATTCCCTCTCCCATCTCATCTTCCTCCATCGAAAAGAATTAAGCAATCGTCTTTCCCGGCGCAATTGTATTCCAAAACCCCCCACAAAAGCACCTCCTCTGCTGCATGATCAGCCATTGCAGCGCCTGCCTTTGCGTCAACACATCCTCCATAACAGCCGCACACCTCGCACACCTCCTCCATCTCCCCTGCCTCCCGTTCACTTCCGCAGCCAGGCCCTTGGGCGGATTCTCAAGCCACACCTTACGGAAACAATCCATCGTCTTCTCCGACCTCCTCCGTCTTTCGACGCTCGCTTTATTTTCATCCACCTCCAACATGCTGAAATCGGCAAAGAAGAGCTGCGAGGAATCGATCTGCTCTTTCACGCCGTCGAGGAGTCCTTCTTTGCGGAAGAGCTCGACGATGACGGGCTTGAATGCGTCGGGGAAGGAACTGCCGAAGAGCATTTTCATCTCTATGTTGTTGCGCGTACGTTCTGCAGGCGCGCTGCCAGAGAGCACCGGGTTGGTGGAAGAGGCGTAACTGTTCTTGATGAGCGAGGTTATGGATGCGAGAAGAGTTTCAAGGGTTTTGATATTGAGGATTGAAGAGCCCGTTAGTTGGGCTATTTGCACGTAGGCGGCTTTCAGGGCGGGGGAGACCTTGGTGGGTGGTGATGGGTTTGGGTTGGCTGGATTGGGCTCGAGAGTGGCGTTGTTGTGCAGCACTGCTTTGCAGGCTATGAAGTCGAGGTGTTGAAGGCGGCGGCAGACTGCGGTTAGAAAGCCTCTGGAGGGAGAGGAGAGGAGGAGGTGTAGGGATATGGTGTTGGTCTTGTGGAGGTAGGAGAGGAGATCAGGTAGCGAGAGGGTAGAGGCGTTAGTCAGGGTTATATGTGGGGGGAGGGTCGTAGGGAGAGTGAGTAGTGTGTCTATAATCCAAGCCACGAGGTCAAGGGCCCAGCGAACAGAGCCTACTAGAGAGTTGATTACTTCTGTGGAGATGTCAGGACAGGCCTGGAGTTGTAGGTTGGAGGACGGACCGGGATCTTCAAGAGGCGTCGTCCTCTCATTGGCATTTGGTCCTCCAGGGCCGGGCAAATGGAGATTGGCAGCCATAGTCACCACAACAACGATACTACGCAACTGCAGTACCAGCCATGCCAGCTTTCCCGAGAACGTGCGCGGGTTGAACTCTCCTTTAAAGCCAATGGAATACTGGATGCAGAGACAAAGCTGGATTGTGGTATTCCTGACGAGAACATCATGGTGGGTTTCCTCGGAGAAATCGGCATTCAGTTTGATCAGGGGTGTGAAGTCTGCAAGCCAGTCGTACGCGAATTCTGCTTTGTAAGTAAAAGGGTAATCTTTTATGGTAGGCAAGTTGACCTACGAGCTGTAGCATATGGTTGTATTGTGGCTAGTATGTCGTCCCAGTTCGCGTTCCTCATCACTGCTGTTGCACAAGAGAGTGTAATAGCGGCAATGGCTGCTGAATACAGAGCTACCTGTCGTTAGCTCTATCTCGTATATGCGAGCGTCCGATGAAGCTTACGATCATCTGTGCTGGTTCCGATTTGCCGCAGATGATAGTTCAATTGCTTCCACTTGACTTTACCGTCATTTCGAAGCTGCACTGCCGAACAATATGTTGGCGACAGGGATACTTGTAGACCTGAAGCTGTTAGACATAAGCCATAAAAGTCAACATAACTTACAAGGCTCATCATCGGTGTATGCAAAGCCTATTTGTGAAAGATGCCAGACTCGTTCGAGATTGCCGTCATTGAACGTCTCTGACATGTCTGTTCGGTCTCTATACTCAATAGAGTTGTCACTGCACGCAAAAGCAATGACCTTTCCATGGTTTATGGACTCCATTGAAACTACCACTTTTTTGACTGTAAAGCTCTCGAGCTTCTTCAAATATACAACTGGCTATGATTTGTTAGATAGCGATATGAAGGGGCGATGTGAAATACCTGGGGTGGATGACCAGCGCCGTTCCTCCTGGAACTCAGCTGTTCGAAAGCGTGATGAACGCTCTGAATTTTATCACGTATTTCCCATCGGTCAACAGTTGTATGAACGTCCTGAGTATAATGTGCTGCAAAAGTAGGCAAAGAGGAACGAATGGTTATGATCGTTGGTGGAACGCTCTTGCTATTGGCGTCCGCGAATGGAGGAAGTAACTCGAGGTGTGAGATTTGAACCATCGAAGAATCGAAAGGGGAAGTATTCATTGGGTCAGATGAGATAGTTGGAGCCCAGCTGGTTCCAGCAAGGTGCCTTGTCTTGATAGTGGGGTTCAAAGGCAAGTTTGCAGGTGGCACCTTGTCAACTTTCGGTTGATTCCACTCAATCAATGCGCGCACTGTACGAAGCTGCATTGAAGCGGTAGTGTATGCAATGAGCAAGGTCCCATCTAAAGAATTAGCCGTGGCAGTAGCAAGGAGGAATAAGACTAAGTACTTTTGTCTGAACATATCGCAGCATGGGTTATCAAGTCATCGGAAGAAACGATGCTCTCTAATTCGGTGTGTGACTCATTCCATTTACTGTTGTTCTGTTGCCACAAGACCCTTAGTGTACCATTGGTGGTAACACATACAAATGCAGACCTCGATTGATTTGGAAGGCAGGGCCCTAGAACAGGAGTTTGGGACGATTCAAATCGATAACCGGATCCTTCCTTGATTGCTGGACCATGCAGAATATTCTTCCACCAAAATTAGCTACGATGTAGGTTTCCGGGCAGAATAACATACTGGTCGGTTCGCTGGATACGCTGCCAAGTTCAACCAGTAGCATCCAATAACCCCATGCAGATCATCCGCTGGGTCGGCTCGACAATCTCTGCTGAGACTTGCCTTATTCAAAGATGCAAATATGGATATAATCGTTACGCGACCTGTCGTATCAATCACCGCCAGATCACTACCCGTTGGACTCCAGGACAGGTGCTTCAGTCGTCCGTCCAGCGGCGAGGAAAAATTTGCAGTAACAGTAGGGGAGCTGAGGGCCCAAGTACCATCAGCTGGATCACAACGAAGATTTCGAAGCTCTAAGGCCATCCCGTTCGGAGCAATAGATGCTATACAGCCCCATCGAGACCATGCAATTCCCCTGAAGGCTTGTCAGGAATGCGCCGTGTCACATGATGTTCCCACTTACTGGCAACAACCTCCTGTTCGTAGCTCATCTATTCTCTGATGGAGCTCTTTCGTAGGCGGCGGCCTGGAGGGTAGGGACAGACCACCCCCATCGCCGAAAAGATCATCCATATCCATCTCATCATCCATCATCAACGGCATCTTTCATGCTCCGCCAGCTAACGTTTAGAAGATGTGAGAATGGAGAGCCGGACAGAGCCCAGAGCGAGCTTTGGACGAGTACAAACAGTCCAACGTAAGTAGTAGGGAATCGGATGAATTGGGCTACCTTAATATATCTTAGATATATCTTAGATAGATGGTTGTGGTTATGGTTGTGGTAGTGGTTGTGGTCATGATTCGCAGACAGGGAAGAGCGGGAGCTAGGACAAGTCAGGTTAGAGAGAAGGCTAAGAAGCCAGACAGCCTCAGCTCAGGTTTCCAAAGCAACACGGCAGAGGAAGGACGACAACAACAACAAAGCCCTTGGCTGGTATGACACGGAATGGAATGGAATGGAGACTGAAGTTGTATGGGATTTGCAGGTTGTTACTGTATAGTACCGGCAAGACATAGAAGGTAGAGGGAGAGGTACATACAATAGAGGTAAAAACAAAATATATATGTGTGTGTAGCCCTATGATCCGGGATCTTGAGGACCGCAAACCACATAGGTATCCTGAAGCAGACGTCAGGTCACCAGCCAGCAAAACAAGCCGTGAGCGACGAGGGCATGGAAGTTCGGAGAATGTAACTCTTTCTCGCTTATTTGCCTACTTACAAGTTGCTACTGACTCTATTGAATTAGCTATTGAATATCTTCTTTCTCCCCCGTACGGAACGGAGTACCTTGATTGACTAACGGGACTCCCGTTAACGCGCTAACCCGCCAAGATTCAAACGGACGTTCTTCCAAACTTACCTACCTTCCCTTCCACCCACCATCTCCCAACCCCCTCCCCCCGGGACTCGACTTCAGACCTGCCTCGACGACGACGACGACGACGACGACAACGACGACGACAACAACAACAACAACAACAACAAGCAAACGATGAACTGAAGGTCGCGAATCGGTACTGTACAACTCGATTCCTTTCCCTGACGTGCGCGCTGCGCCCGCTCGTCAGTTCCCCGAATCCTCTCATCCTCATCTTCGACGCCATGACGACCCCGACCTCCACCCCGACCAATTCCTCCCCTACGGCATCACCTCTGTCCTCCCCGCTCACGAGCGTAGCCTCGAGATCTCCATCCCCCTTGGACTACCCCAGTCCGCCGTCTTCTGATGGCTCAGAGAAGGATGCCACGAAGAAGATGCGCAAGTCGCCTGATGGTGGTCGCGACATCTCTCCACCCGCAAAGAGACAGAGAATTACAAAAGAGAGGGTGCTGAAGACGGAGCGTCTCGATATTAAAGCCCTCTATGATAGCGACGACAGCGCGCACCACACGCGGATGGACCCCCAAGTGAGACGATTGATCGACGCTCTCCGTACCAAGCGCAAGATTGTGGTCATTGCCGGAGCCGGTATCTCGGTCTCTGCTGGCAGTAAGTTCCCCTCCCCTACCCTCATCACTATTGCCGCTAATGAAGTCGTAGTACCCGACTTCCGCTCATCAACAGGGCTGTTCAAGACCATGCGCTCTCAAGATAAACTCAAGGCCTCAGGGAAGGATTTATTTGACGCTGGTGTCTACCGAAATAACGATTCGACCAGTGCATTCCACGACATGGTCAGAGAGTTATCTCACTCGACAAAAAATGCGAAGCCAACACCGTTCCATCATATGCTCGCTACGCTGGCTGAAGAAGGTCGATTGATGCGGCTGTATACCCAGAACGTGGATGGTATCGACACAGCCCTGAAGCCACTGGCAACTACGATTCCCTTGAATAAGAAGGGTCCTTGGCCACAGACCATTCAGCTACACGGAGGACTTGAGAAGATGGTGTGCTCAAAGTGCGGAGAGATCTCAAATTTCGAAGGCAAGTTGTTCGACGGCCCTGAGGCTCCGTTATGCTCGGAATGTTCAGAATTAGATGGAGTACGTTTAGCAGGTGGGCTCAGGAGTCATGGAATCGGGCGATTACGACCGAGAATGGTTTTGTACAATGAGTACAACCCAGATCAGGACGCTATCGGAGCAGTTAGCGCCTGGGATCTCAAAAAGGGCCCTGATGCAGTCATCGTCGTCGGCACACGACTCACTATTCCGGGTACCAAGCGTTTGACGAAAGAGTTGTGTTCTGTTACTCGGGCCAAACGAGGAGGATTCACTGCCTGGATCAATCTTGAAGCTGACCCCCCCGCCGGCCCCGAGTTCAAGGACTGTTGGGATATGATCGTCAAGGCCGAGTGTGACACTGTTGCGGAACTCGTTGGCCTGCCGAAGTGGGATGACAAGGATTGTGGAGACTATGTTGTTGGAGTCCCATGCCCTCCAGACTACCGCCCCCAAGTCGTAATCAAGAGCAAGATAGCTAGTGTCCAAACCCAAACCACGATGACTCCTATCGACAGCCCCAAAGAACAAAGTCCAGTACCCTCAGATGATCTACCGAAGAAGAAGCAGGTACCATTGTCTTTTGCACCCAAGCCTGCTGGGAACCTCGATGAGAAGAAGAAAAAGCGCGGACGTCCACAGGGGTCTAGAAAGGCATTGCCTACAAAGCCAGAGCCAGCGGCAAATCGGATCAATAACAATTTCAGCGCCACCAAAACCTCGATACCGAGAGCGACGAAAGCGAAGGACGCCTTGTATCCAGGTCTCAAGCAACCTACGCAGTTGGAGACTGATGAGCAAGGGCAGACCCCTCCATCCAAATCGAGTCAAGTCGCTGTCGAAATCTCTTGCAACAACAACAGAGTCGAGACCATCTCGCCTAAAGGTCGGCTTCCATCCGGAATGGCAAATCTTCTTTGTTGAGGCTCTCCCTCGTGAGCTCTTTCTACGATTCTTCAAGTATCACTTCAGAATCACGCATCTCCTTACCCGCGGCATCAGTTCAAGGCAGGCGCTGTGCCTAAGTTCACAAGACAAGAGCAGGTCATTCGACGAAGCTTTTGCACCTTATTCCCTCCGGGCATTGATTGTTTATACAGCATTGAACGGGTTTGTAGCAGTACGCGTGGGGGCGGCGACAACACTATGTATTGCATCTGGACGCGGAAGAGCTGGTGTAGGCGGCGGCTCGACACACGCACACGCACAAGTGACTTTCGTTGCACATGGAAAATTGGTCTGAATGGTGGCGCAGAAGGAGTTGTTGTTGTATCCTTCGTATAGATAGATACTGGTACTCTTTGCCCCTCGCTGCAGAAATTTGGCGGCGGAGGAAGCCGCAACGAGCTGTATTCATTCACCAGCGTGTTTCTCTGAGCAGAGAGACATGGACATAGGCATAGGTAGTTAATTGCCTGCAAGTACACAGATGCACAGTAATCATAAATATGATTTGTCGACCCGTTTGAAATTTTGAAGTTTGCGCGTGATCGGCTCACATGGCGGTTCTCTTGTTTATATACTACGTACCTATGTATATATATTTAACTACTGTATACCTACCACGGTACAGGCCTAAGTATTACCCCTCGAGAGTGCCTTAAAAGTTTAGTTTCCACTTTAAACCCCCTGTTTTCCCTACCCTCGAGGGGTAATACTTACGCCTGCGGGTAGTAAGTAGATAGATAGGCTTGGGTGGGTGCCGGTGCCGGGTGGGATGAGTGAACGAGTGAGTAGGGAAGTGGGTTGGTTCGTCATACTCCGACGGAGCGGAGCGGAACGGAAAACGGTACTACGGTGGGGGGGAGGGGGCGGAGAGGGGGAGGGGGATTGGGGTTCGCTCATACTTAGTTGTCCTTAGTTACTACGTACCTAGTATATCGAACTAACATTCCACAGGTCCGCAGGGGTATCGATCTCGACGCTCGCGAGGAATGCGGCCACGGTGGCAGCAAGCTCGCAAGCTCCTACATACAGTATTACAACATCTTTTGTTTCCTTGTGGACCGGAAGGAAGAGGCAGATACAGTGGGTAGGCGCTGGACGGGACATCCAGATTACGCCTTGTTTTCGAGGTCTCGGGTCGGGGATCAGGGGGCGCGGCAGAGTCGGGAGGGCATGGGTAAACATGCAAGACGGAAATGCAGCATCGCCCGGTCTTTGCTCCCGGTGTTTGAATCCGAGACGGCGCAGGGTTCGCGGGAGAGACCTTGGAGAGAGAGGGCCGCCGCCTACCTACCGTACCGGTACCTCACAGTATGCGGAGTATCCCGGGTCGCCGCCGCCCACTTGAGACGAGCGTCTTTTATGAGCGACAAGGGCGGTCGGTCCTTAATTAATGTGCCTGACTACCGGTACACCTCGACTGCCCGAGTTGTAATCCCGTCATCCAAGACCGCTATGCGATACCGCGGGATCAGAAACCCGGGGCTATTTGGGAAGAGAGCTTTTCCCCAATGTGGTCTTTACTCTCGGTTGGATAGTACTACGTAGATTTCAATGAGTGAGGAACCGACACTTTTACTATTCGACCAAGTCGAGCAAAACTTTGAGCCCGGCTTCACTTTATAAAGCGAGCCAAAACGATAGAAAAAAGAACTTAAGCATATTAGAATCAAGGAGCGTTGATGATAGATACAATACTACCACGGTACAGGCCTAAGTATTACCCCTCGAGGGTGCCTTAGAAGTTTAGTTTCCACTTTAAACCCCCTGTTTTCCCTACCCTCGAGGGGTAATACTTACGCCTGCGACGTAGTATTTTCGCTAAAGCGCTAGAGCGAACGAGAAGTTAAAGAGCCAGCCTTGCAACAAAATAATTATAGCATTCGTGTTTCCGCTATCGATAGTATCAAGCATGGCACCTTTAGGAGCCTCTGGCTTAAGATAATATTTGATTAGCGAAAGCCAGCGGAAATAAGTCGTGCATAAAGGCTACGTACCCAAGAAGCGGCTAGGAATTGCCGGAGCACTGGTTACTTTGCCCACAGCATTGAAAGCAGGTTGAGACGGTACTGCAAGTGTTAAGCTGGCATTTTCCATTGACCACGCAGTTACACATAATCTATGATTTTCAATTAATACAATACGAAAGCAAAAGAAGAAGCAAGCATATATTACCTGTTGGGCGACGACTGTGCTAGCTATAGCAGCAACGACCAAAGTGATCAGAGAGAACTTCATATTGACGAGAGATGTTTGTTTAGATTGTGTAGTGGTTATGTGTAGTATAGAAAAGCGAAGTTAGTTTGAAGGCAGTCTAAGGATTAAGGAAAAGGAGGTTCTTATACCATCAAGTATCTGACTGCAAGGATGTGAGGCCAAGCGAAAGAACGTATAGTTGCTGAGAGTATGCTTCAAGTAGATTTAAAGTTTCATCGCTTCTACGTAAGGTCTCCTGCAAAATTATACTTTAGATACGTACCTCGGTACAGGCCTAAGTGTTACTTTCCCCATGAATACGTAGTACTACGTACGTAGTAAATGTCGAAAGTATAATTTCGCAAGGGATCTTACCAAGGCTTAAACCAATCAACTTACTACAGGCACCCTCGAGGGGTAATACCGGTACTTAGGCCTGTACCGTGGTACTTTGTACTACGTACATAATTCCTTTACTCAACTCGTTGCCGTACCCTAGGGGAGGTCCCAGGGCGGCAGGGCCACCCGCCCAACGTTAATAAATATAACAACAACAGCAGCAGCAGCAGCAGCCAGCTATCTCTCGAGCATTTTATCCATAGCAATAACAGCCCTTTTCCGCGCGACGCAGGCTAATCCTCGAGCATTTAACTCATAGCCTCCTTTAGCGCGATGCGGCCAGCCAGCTAGCTACCTATCTACCGGTATCCCTCGAGCATTTAATCTACCGTATAGCAATAACCTTCCTTAAAGCGAAGCAGCAAGCTTGTTTTAAGCATTTCTCTTTTCTCTTATCAACCAGCTATTAATCAAGTATTCGAAAGGAGGAGAGTCTATCATCGTAGTTCTTGGCCGCAAAAAGGGGTCGATTATTTCCCATGCCTCGAAGAAAGTGGAGTTGTATTTCCTATGCCTCAACCCACTTTTTGAGTGGGCCCGCCTAGCCAAATCTACTCGCTGCTTTATACAAGAATTTTTTTTTAATAATGCCGCTTATACTAGAATTATTTTTTGAAGTTGTCGATTATAATTTTAAAGCTATTTACATTTATAATTTTTTTAAAAAAATAAATAGAAATAAATAAATATAATTCTATCGCTTACGGATCTCGATGTAGCGCTAAACTTGATCGCGAATTAAAGACATATATGTGTTTTTAATTATAGATATCAGCTTAAGAATCAATTCCAAAAGATACGCTATCCGCGTAATCAACGGTCTTGTATAACGAACACGATTAAAGCATATATGTTTTTCTTATCATACCGATACCGTAGCTTCCTTAATTCGAACGTCGTAGTTGCAACGAGCGCGCTACTTAAATAGATCTGTATCTATATCAGAATCGAGTATACCGAAGCCGAGGTCGTTAAATGTAGCGTCAAGCAGCGAGTAGATTTGGCTAGGCGGGCCCACTCAAAAAGTGGGTTGAGGCATGGGAAATACAACTCCACTTTCTTCGAGGCATGGGAAATAATCGACCCGCGAAACGGTGGGTTTCGATTTCGAAAGTGCAAATACTACGTCCCAGGCATAAGTATTACCCCTTAAGGGTAGGGTAACCAGGGGGTTTAGGGTGGAAACTATACTTTGGAGGCACCCTCCAGGGGTAATACTCAGGCCTGTACCGTGGTATAGCAGCTTACTTCGTATTAAACCCGCAAGATCCCCCTTTTTTTCTCTCTCTTATCAGTAAGCAATTAGTCAAGTTTTGGATGCTCCTCGATGGCCCAAGCTCAGAACGATGCACCTGGTATCTAACGGTCCCTCTTAACTCACGTGACCGCATTTTTTAACAGCTTACGGTCTTAGCCTGGATCCACGTGTAGGTAGCTCAACATTATAGGTACTAGAAGACAGAAGACAGAAGATAGATAGACTAGATAGATATCGACGGACTCCCCGATCCCGGAGCACTTCAAGAAGCAGGTGCGGTGTATCTGTACGGGAGCATTGGACAAGGCAGCAAGCAGCCGTCTCGCCGGCCCTTTGCTGCCAGCTAGATTCCCGACGACGACGACGACGACGACGACGACGGGTTCGGAGCGGCGGATTCGCAGAAGCTTGCCGCACCTGGCTCACCTACCGTACCGCACCTGTCTGGCGCTTCTAAGGGCAGCGAGTGTGGGACGGAAAGGTGTGTGGACGGGACGGCGTGCACCCGTGGCCCGGAATCTTTTTGCGACAGCAGCGGCTGCTGTGGGCAGAGAGCAGGTCACGCATGGCTTTGATCGATGGCGCGGACCGGGCGATTTCCGCATCTCTGGTGGGAGGGGAGCCAAAATCTGAGGTTGCGCGGTGCTGCTGCTACTGCATACGATCTAGGGGAATCGCCGAGGCGAATTGGCAGGTCGGAGGTTTCTACGGTTTCTACGATGGGGAAGGGGGTGGAAACGTCCGCTTGCGAAGGACAACAACAACAACAACAACAACAACAACGATTACTATCAATTTACTAACACAACCTCCATCTCAGCCCAGCCAGCACCTTTATTTTCGCCATCACCTCTTCACACTCTCTCTATCTTTCAAAGAATAGTAAATAATCCACCGCCACGCAATGGGCTCTCCTTAACTTCACTTTAGTATCAGGCACCCAGTCCACACGATATAAAAAAAAAATACAAGACAAAAAGCCTGTGCTGGTATTGTATTGGTAACGAGAAAAGGGTCCTTCGACAACTACCCCCTTGGCTATCTATCCGTGCATATGATACGGTACTTATCCGTACCTATCAGGTGCCTACCTGCCTATGCTCGCCTCGGAGCAGCCACCACATACATTCTTGAGACAGAGGACTAAGCTCAAACGAAGATTGATAAAATTACATACAGTAGGTATTACTAGGCTAAGGGCCCTGCAGATTCCCCCCCAATCTCGCCGGGTATCAGAAATTTGACCGTCCTCCTATCACTGACGTGCAATTCCAAACACCTCATCACAATGCTTTTTTGTAGATTACATAATCCGGTCCCCTTCGCTCATCCGTAGGGTCAACTCGTGAAAAGCGCCGCTTAGTTGACGATCCAGTTCTTAACACTTACAGGCATCTCCATTGGGGGTTGCCATAATTCGGTACTCTTTATAGGCATGAAAGCCTCGAAGTCTCTCTTGGTACGGCTCCAGGACTCGCTGGGTATGTTCTGGAATAGGTCTGGCGAAGCATGGGTGGTTGTCGGTCGTGCTTGCCACATGCTACACTGTTGCTTTATCGATGGCTCTGATGCCCGAGCAGTCCAGGTCATTGATCGGTTCAGAACTTTCGGTGCTACAGCTACAGATGTGTCGACGGATGTCTTATGGAGCCAGTGTGTGGAATTTTCAGTTGGTGCAGTTGAGTCGAGGGCAAAAAGCTGAACCGAGTCCAGGCGCGGTAGAGGAGAGGGTCGGCTTGGATTTGATGCTGGTTTAAAATGGCTTCTCTTTACGTGAGCGAACATATCTGGCATCGGCGGCGCGGATACTGTCTTGGTGGTCCACAAGCTCTCGATTTTCTCCGCACCACCTGGCATTGCTCGAGGAGTCCAGGTTTGAGCAAATGTTGGCTTCCTAGCAGTCAAACCCAGCCAATCCTTGTTCTCTTTCGCAGCGTGGAGTGGTGTCCAGAGAGATTGAGACTTCAACATTGGTAGCTCAAAGATTATCGTCGCTGATGCTTTGCGAGGAGCCGCGGCAACGAGATTCATCTCGACCGCTACAGCACGGAGAGGCACGGTAGTCTTTGACCACATCGCTGTAGACGTTGGAATACTAGCAATCACGGATGATGTCCACAGACCAGGCATTGGGAGGGAACGTCTCACAGTAGCTGGGTGAATTTTGGCAACGTTCGGAATTGTGACTGTGCCAGCATTGATAGCTTCAAGTAAAGCAGCTTCCCATTTTTCTGGGCTATAAGTCATGGGCGAGCTGGATTTGAAAACAGCTCGGGAGAGTGCAGTTTCCCAATCAGATTTCATCGCAGCTGGACGGCGTAAGCGAGGTGTTGCCTCCTCAGAAGTAACTTCAGCGAGTGCTGCCTCCCAGTCAGATGTGCCAGCGACTGGTGGTGGGCACGAAATATTTATCGGTAGGCCGGCAGCAATTGCCTCAGCAAGCGATTTCTCCCATTCTGCTGGAGAATAAACCATGCGTTTGCGCTGGAGCTTCAGCTTGAGTGCGGACAGAGCATTTGGCTGGGTAGTAGATGCTCTTCGGAACTTTCTGACGACAGCAGTCTTCTCCGGAGCTGGAGCCCTCGATTCCCAGAGGTCTCGCGAAGAAAGGACACTTGATTCTCGTACAGAAGCCAGATTTTGCTGGGGTGGCTGGCGGACTGGGATCCTGGATGGGTGCTTGCTATCGTCTTTTGAAGTGTTGACCGGCGATTTGTCCGCACTCCCCCATTTAAGGGCAAGAGTTGATGTGTCAGCCGACCAGGTAGATGAAGCGTTGGTGCTTGACGACCTGGCCGAGAAAGCGTCAGATACTGGTGACGTGGTGCCAGACGAGGCTGTTGAGTAGACGGAGGGTGACTCGGGCCGGGTGGATGAGATTGATATCCAATCGACCTCCACCCCTTGCCTTTCGTCTCCGCTCCAGAGTCTCGTGGATGTCGGTGTCAAGATGCTCAAGGGAGCCAAGGATTTCCGGGGCTTGGAGACCATGCTGATCACTGCTGGAATTGTATCACTTGATCGGTAGTTCGATCTCAAGATGGATGCATTAAAAAGGCCTGGGATTATGGTCTCCTCATGTGTGGTGGGTTGAGACCACATTAGTGTGGTAGGAAACGAGGTGACCAAACCAGACGATTTCTCGGTTTTGGCATTGCTCCACATGGAAGAGGCAGGAGCGGTTGGGGCTTGTGCAGCAGGTGCAACCCACAATTCCATTGAAGACAGAACAGGTAGCGCTTGAGATGAACGGGGCCTCACTCGGACAACATCGTCCGCCAAAGCGACCAATGCATTCCAGATGGCGGACTCAGGTTGAGGTAAGCCAGCCGCAGCTGGCTTGTTGAATCCATAAACTCTACCAGCCCAAAGTTGTGCTGTAGCTCTGGTTGCGAAGGCGGGAGGTTGGATGGGCAAGCGGCTGAGTATGGGTGAAACAGGCTCTGAGCCTTGTGTTTCCGGGAAATCGTCATAATCTTGGATAGCTTGATCTCTACGAGCAGGCAAGAGACTAGCTTGAGAAGGCGCATCGGGAGAGTTGAGCAGGTCGGCAATTTCCCACAGAGTAGACTCGTCGAATTCGTCATCGCTTGCTGCGTGATTCAAGTCTGAATCTTCCTCTTCGTATTCGTCGAACAACGAGGACGAGTATTCTGACTTCTCAGGCTCAAGTTGCCTAGATCTGGTGTCAAACTTGGATGCCAGGGCTGGTAGTACTGGACGTTTAAGAAGGGCGGGATCAGAAGTTAAGATAGGTTGATCAGACAACTCCCCCGAAGAAAATTGGAAGATACCCAGGGTATCCCTCTTATTTAGGATAGGAAGGGGACTCTCAACTGTATATTGGTCAGCCAGCAGCAGGAAACAAGGGATGGAAGAAAATAAATACCAATATCGGGGAGGAAGGTCATCCTCTTGCTCTTGCGTTGAGGCCGCTGTCTTGCAGGACGAGTACTGATACCTGTTTGGCTAACAGTTTTCGATCCCCAGAGACCAACAACTGGTCGGCTGTATCCCAATGAGCTGGACTCAATCCAGAGCTCGGTGCTGAAAATCGGAAGAACATGCTCAAAAAGACGCTGTGCTGGCCGCATATTCTTCGCAGGTGGTTCAGAAGTCGCCTCTGAAGTGCTTGAGGTCCCGTATGGAGAACTCCACATATGACCCGTAGCTTCCTCTGGTGAAATAGTTGATGGCCGCCAAAGTGTCACAGCCTCTTTAAAGACTTTTCGAGGAGGTTGATATTGCTTCATAGCTTCAGTATCCGAGTCTGACTCGAAGTCTGTTTCAAGCTCGGTCTCAGATTCCCCACTGTCGGGAGGAGTTGAGCTCACGAATGACGGCTTACCCTTTGTTACGGAGAGGAAGTTCAAGCTCTTGCGTAGCAAATCTGGAGCATTCTCAATGTATTCCATTTGGGCCTCTGCCAGGCGTTGTTGCCAAATAGAAGCTCTGGAATTCTCGGAAATTGCAGTGAGTGTAGTAAGGTTGGATCCATCACTCTTGAGTCGGACAGTCGTGCTGCTTCTGAAACGAGCTCTGATGGACGAAGCCATGGAAGGCGTGTTAGGCGACCCTTGTGTTGTCTTTTGAGACGTGCTGTTCTCTGCTTCGGCCTGAGCGTAGGGGGATATGGATATTGAGTCCCGGCCGAGATTACTCTGCATCCGTTGCCATTGGTTCTCCTGCTGCCCCATCTCTTTCTCAAGGGTTTCCAGAAGCCTGAACCGACCAGTATCTTGGCCACGTTCATTTTCGCTGTTAGGCCCAGGTATGCGTCGTAGCAGCGAGGCGACTGATCCTCGACTTTTCTGCTGCTCAAATCGCCGGAGTTGCTCCTGGATGGCTGCGATTGCTCGCTCAGGGGAGTCAATTTGTGGAGAAGGTTCCGCACTGTGGACAACGACAGTCGCTCTCCTCCCGGATCTGTGTAGAAGAAGAGGTGGGGGCGGCGGCATCTGGCGCTTTACAAAGTTGGATCTGGATCTCTCTGAGAAGGTTGGAAGATCATCGCCGATCCGATGATGCCAGCCAAATCCATGCTTGATAGAATCATGTGTTCTATCGACAAATGATAACTGGTCTGCACTCAGTAGAGATGACGGTCTATAATTATCGGCAGCACTCATGACAAATGACCGCCGATTTTCTTCCGAGTCCAGCATCATGGGTACGATTGCCTCATCCTCCCGAAGCTCCTGATGAGAGAGTGGTGGTAATTCTCGCATGCTGTCCGGGCGTTGACGATACGGGGAACCGCCATTTTCCCTCGCCCTCGAAAGATCGACGGGTGAAACTTCGGACTGAATGGATTCCCAGTAAGTTGAGGCATCGCCAATAGAGCCCTCATGACTAGCTGGATTCCAAATTTCCCCAACCTCGTGGGCTATGGTCTTGTATAGATCCGTGCTGACAGGGAAGTCTTGATCCTCAGACCGAGGTGACTTTATGGTTTGCCGTTTGAGCGATTTTAGTGGAATGCCTGGAGCAATCATTGTCCCTTCAAATGCCTTCTGAGTTAGTTGCTGTTCCTCAGTCGGGCTCTGTAACCTTGTCTCTTCGGACAAGTACATAGAGGGCACACGCGGAAGCGAAGGAACAGAGGATCGGCGACGGCGAGCTGTGCCAGGTCCGGGTGTAGCTGGGAAGAGGAACTCAATCTTCTCGTCAAGAGACATGCTCTCAGTATCACTGGGGAGAAGTCTCTTGAGGTAAGCTGCTCTGGTGTTTGGCGGTGCTGGTAAGGCCGGTAGTTGAGTTGGGCTTCCGGACAGAGACAGAAAATCAGACATTCTAGGTATGGCAGAGACGGACTTGCTGCGCACATGACCGAGAGATTGCTCGCTTGGAAACAATGCTCGATTGGAGCATGAGGTATTTCTCTTGTAAGGTGGTCGTGGGCGGTGGATGATGGAATCTGAAGATTTCAGTGGACCTGTCCTAACCGAAGCAATGATCTTCGAGTTCGGAGCAGATGCGTTGATGATCGTGTTCACCATTCCGGGGTTATCATACACGATATCGTTGATGAACATGACAGTTTGTGGTTTGGCTATGCTGACCTCTTGCACCATTGTTATGCTCGACGCCTTAGAGTTCGGAGGAAGTCCATTATTGTTCTTTCTTTGCATAGAAGACTTTGGGGCATTCTCTTCACTGGCTGGGTCGAAGCTGTTCGTTTTTCTAGGCGATCTTCGACGAACTTCCTCACGTCCTGGAGAAATAGATGCCGAAGTAGTGGTGCCGTCTGTAGCGACATGAGTGGCAGTTAGAGATGGTACCACAACTGGCAACACCATCATCGGATTGCCAGGCACTGGATTCGGCTTCCCCTTGCTACTTGGAGCCAGAGCCTCTCGTGTCGAAAATTGTGGCCTGCTAGCAAAAAGTTTGGACCTTGCCGATGCTTCCTCTCTCCGCTTACGGTCCAGATCTGCCGCTGTTGTGAGGTCGATCGTTGGTATCTTTGCAGCAGATTGATGCCCATCACTTGGGTGCGGGACTGGTTGCGAGATTCCAAGGCTTCGAATACTTGGTTTTGCTGGAGTCTTAGACCAGTTGAACATGGATCGCTTTTGCACGGGTGATGAAGTTGAAAATACCGGTGTAGTCAAGGACCTTTCTGGGAAGGTTGGCCTGAGTGGCGGTGCCATAGAAACCTGAGTGGCAGCTTGCGAAGCTGCAACCATTGCTGGAATGACTCCAGTTGATCCACGATACAGACGATCAGGTCTTTCCAGAGCCTCGCCTATCTCTTGTACATCGACCTCGTTTCCAAGCTTTGTAAATCCTCTCGTGTCCCCTCGAGAGCTATTTTGGAAAACCATGGGCGAACCATTGGGTGTTGCAGAAGGGTTGACAATGAATAAGTTTCCGCTCTTTGTATAGTTGTGGGTGAGAACCGGCGACCCGTTACCACCAGGATTACCGTGAAATATCTCTCCAGGTGGGGGCATAGGATTCACGAATGGGGATCTCGCCTCGGGGGTTACTGCATTTTCCTCTCGTGCCAAGGTCAACGCCCCAAGAAACATGGTGACAATGCCTATTTCCTGTCAGTATTTTGCTCCAATTTTTGAAGACAATACTCACTAACAAGGACCAAGAGTCCATTTGCTGGAAGCACGGTTTGTGTCAGTACTACCGTGGCAGGCGTTCCAAGAATCATTGGCACACTGGTCTGTAATAGTGTATGTCAGTATCTCCTAGCAAGCCAGAACGTTGAGACTCACCACGGTCCAGACACCAAGCCCAACGATACTGAATATCAAGGCTTTGCTCTTCTTCTGCATCGGATCGGGGCTCTTTCCACTTATCTCCCGGATCAGTAGTACACCAACAATGATCGCATCCAGGGCAAGTACGGCGATCGAAACTGGTGTGAGGGGTGTCTGCTGGAGGGATATTCGCGCCACGCAAACTGGCGCAAATTGAGACTTCGTGAACGAGACGAGCATTACGCCTCCGATCAGCCGGAGAAAAAGTGCACCTTGCAATATTAAGCGTCCCGGTGTGACTTTAGTTCCACCAATCGACCACATAAAAAACTGCTCTATCGTAACCCTGGCTAGTTGATCAAAAATGGTGGATAAGAGGATCGTTAATTGGCAGATATTCGCCATGTCCTTTGCGAGGAGGAGGCTGACAAATTCGACCTGAGCCCACAGGGCTGCAAATAAGAAGAAGAGAAGGAGGACCAGCCTCGGGCCGTCCTTGAAAATGGTCGAACCATGACCTCTGTAAAATATGAGAAGAGCGCCGAGGACGGCTTGCAGGACGGTACCACTGGAGCAGTCGTTAGCACACACAGCAGTGGCAGGAGCCTGAAGAGGGGACCGACAAAGAAAATGCCGCCGAAAGGGTCTGAACGGCATCAGGAATAAGCATGACGGCGGGGAATTAAGAAGAAAATAAAGAAATTATATAGAAAAAAGGCCAATCTATGGCACGGTTTGAAAGAATTAAACTTCGTGGGATAGCATCATAATCTCCGATCGTTAACACATCTCGCTGAGCGCCGACGACAACAATCAATGGACGTTAGTTGAAAAGCAAGTCGTGGGTTGAACAAACAGGAAGTCGCCAGAGGGGCTGGACAGCGGTAGTCAGGACATCATTCTCTGCTCATGCTCAGGGAGGCGAGGAGTATCAAGCTTCTGGACGCCCACCCGTCAACATCGCCTTGTCAAGACTCAAACAGCGGACCGGGCATGGCGAAAGACTCAATTGAGTCCGGTAGTGAAAGGTATAACGTGACCCGAAGCTGGAACAATGTCTGCGACATTGACAAGCGGCGGTATTGCCGCATGCTACAGATTTTGACAGACCACCCGTTTCGGAGACGATATCAACTGGACATCGAGGCTAGGATGAGTGTTGTAACTTGTCCGGTGCGTGATCCTCTTGCGGAGGCTTGTTTCGACCGAAACCAGCAGGGTTTCGTACACCATCGTCGAGTTCTGCAGACCACGAAGGAGATTTATAGCTTAACCATCGCCGCATCAAGGATGAGACAGAGTCAATTCGATTGACAGCAATGGTGTTTCTGGTATGAGAATCAGCGTCGTGAGAACAAGAATCCTAAGCCGTGTGTACGGAGTTGGAGTTGGAGTTGGAGTTGGAGTTGGAGTTGGAATTGGGGAATTTGTCATAGCGAGCCGAAGCCGCAGGGAAAGGAAGATTTGCACTCGCCAAGCCCTGGCCCGGCCCGGACCAATGTCGTCCCGGATGACTCGCCTCGCATCCATTTGATCCTGAGAATATACTACTACTACGTAAACAAAACTACCCCGGCAAAGCAGAGACATGACAGAATGTTGTAGCTCGGCTCATATCGTTTTGCAACAGGAGGAGGAGGGGAAAGATGCACAAGATGCAGAATTTCGTTCTCGCCGTGAACGCTTTGCTGCTACAGCGCGGAGCTAGCGGCGGCTCGTCTCGACGGCAAGTCGACAACACTACCGGTAGGTATCAACTTCGCGAAACTGAATGCTCGGTTTGGCTTGGCTAGTAGCTCTCTTGGTGGATGTGAAAATACTGGCGAAGGCCTAGCGGTAGTGCGGCCGGGCTTTTCATGTTTTCCCTGGGGGTTTCCTTTCTTCTTCTTCTTCTTCTTCTTCTTCTTCTTGTTCTTCTTCTTCTTCTCCTTCTCTAGTAGTACATACGTAGGTAGTACGTACCTACGTGTGGTGGCCCATGGTCGTTCAAGAAAGGCAAGATTGGTTGCTCAAGGGGCTCGGAGTAATGCTGCACATCTTTCCACTTTCCACATTTCGCATGTTGTACTACGTACATCGCATCATGCATTACGCGATATATTTCTTATTGCTAGAATGCCTCTTCGTAGGAATCCGTAGCAAGCGTCGGAAAGCCTTCACCGTACTGCTCTATTACCTATCACCGACCTTGGACGAACACGAGCGAGCACGCATCCCACCTGGTGCTATCCTACCGGTACTTGGTATGAATACGGAAATGCTCACTCACATCCAGGGACATGACGATTGAAGGTTCGATAAGTCTTTTTCAGAGTTTCGATCTGAAGGGAAGGCTTGGCTCTTGGCATGATCTTGAGGATATTCCAAAAAAGCCAATCGTAGGGAAGGGTCTGTTGGGGTCGGGATGTTTTTTTTGGGGGGAGGGGGGTGGGGTGGGGGAAGGGGTGGGGGGGGTGCGTGGATAGGTGGACGGATGAGTGGACGGATGGATGAAGAATGGATGAATAGACGGGATGGATAGATGGATAGATGGAAAAAAAAATACCGTTTGATACTTCGGATGATAGACAGTCTGAGAAGTGGTCATCCAAATCTATTTATCAAAAGATACTGGAACTATTCCGTACTGTATTCTACCATGGTTCTCGCGGGGAAAGCTTATCCCGGAAAGGACCCTGGGCTCCCCGGTCGTATCGGACAAGCCCCGACCTATCATGTTTCCCACATCGTACGATGTTCGGTCGGATGCCAAAAGAACAACTAGACCGACCACACCAGAGCGACCACACCAGACCAAATCAGATCAGAACCGACCATACCAACCAACACTGTCACTCCATCTCTCACTCTCCTTTCAGCTCCCAGCTCCCCTCTCTCTCTCCCTTTCCCTCTCTTTCCCGCTCCCCCTCTCGACAAGTCTCTCAAGTCTCTCAGGTCTCTCAGGTCTTTCTCATCGCGTGATTTATCCCGGTCACGACACCCGCACTGCACCGCACCGCACCGCACCGCTCCGCACCGCACCGCACCGCATCATCCCCACCTCATCTCATCCCATCCCCCAAATGATCCCGTCCCATCCCTTTGCTCGTCAGAGATCTATCAGCTCATCTTGAATGACACCCGGCCCGCAGTGGCAGCAGCAGCAGCAGCAGCAGCAGCAGGCACTCACCTGGCGCCAACTCTGCCTTGACCCTCTGCCTTCTGCCGTCCGCAATCATGGATTCGAGGGACTCGTTTGATCCGTTCGCCATCTCTGCTCTCCCCGCCGGCTTCGACTTCAACAGCTTCGACGAGACCGAGACCGAGACCGTACGCTTCACCGACACACTGGCACTGGACCAAAGTCAACATCAGCGGCAGGATCAGGATCAGGATCTTATCTTCCCAGCGGACTGGGACCAAGAGTCGCCGCCATACGACGGAAACCTCTACGTGACGCCCCTCAGCTGGGCGCGTCCCTCAGAGCATAGGGTCGAGCCCAAGGTTGAGCCCAAGATCGAGCCAGTTCCGTCGGCGCGATACACGACAATGAACTCGCTCACCCCGGCGCAGCAAGAGAAACTCCGCAACATTGCCATGCCTCTCCACCTCCAATACCGGGGCCTACACAGCCCACAGTCGACCGCGAGCTCCAAGAGCCACTCCATATCCTCCCCCGATAGCCACAATGACCGCGGCATAAAACGCAAGTCTTCCACAGACGCAGAGGGCGAGGAGGACGATGATTCGAACCCGCCCATCAAGAAGACTGCCCATAATATGATCGAGAAGAGATATCGCACAAACTTGAACGACAAGATTGCTGCGCTGCGGGACAGTGTACCGAGTCTACGGATCATGACCAAGAGCGCGAGGGGCGAAGATACCGCCGATGATCGGGAGGAGCTTCAAGGCTTGACTCCGGCTCATAAGTTGAACAAGGCGACAGTGAGTACTGCCGCGTTTGCATTCTGTTCCCACAGTTCTGGGGCCGCGATTTGAGGATTGGCCTCATCGGTTTGGAGTCTCATCTATCTCCTGTGCCCACCGTGATGTTGTTTCCCGGGCGGGTTTCGCGTGCCAGTCGCTCCTTTGGAACCGCTGTCTTCATTCGCGATACCTCTCGTCCCGACATTGCAGTCGACATCATCCTGACCATCCACTGCTTCCCACGTTAACCCTCTCAAATGGCTTCGTGATCGGTGCGTGCGGACTGGGGCTGATTCATCGTCTAGGTCCTGAGCAAGGCAACCGAGTACATTAACCACTTAGAGAAACGCTGCAAGCGATTAGAAGCTGAGAATGCCGAGCAAAAGGCTCGCCTCGCTGCATTCGAAACACTGTTCCGATCCGGATCCATGGGCTTCAATCAAGCCCACCCCATGAACAGCACTTTCCAGTTCACACCAGACTACAGCAGTACAGGCCCACCAACTCCAGGCATGGAGCCCCAAGGGCTGATCTCAATCCCAGACGGCATTCGAAGACACCAGAGTGAGCCACCATCCTTTCCTCATGTTGTTCCGTTCTCGACAAGAGAGTCCTTGAGGTGGTCTTCTTCCTCCAATTACTGACTCGAGCAGGTGCAGGTCAAATGGGTCAACAGGCATTCTCCGGCCCCCAAGAGACGCCCTATCGCCAACAAGCCATGGGCCCTAACGGGTGGAATAGTGGTTACTTTGGCAAGCTTATGGTTGGATCCCTCGCAGGCCTCATGATTCTGGAAGGCTTCAGCCACGGCGAGCAAGCAGATGACTCTCCTGGAGCGCGAGGTTTATCAGCTCTCCCTTTACAACTTCTCAAGTCCCTGAGCTCAACACTTCACTCTTCACTCGACGTCAGTGCACTTGGCTACCATGTTCCCGCGGCAGAGACGTTGGGATATATGAAGCTTTTCTTCATGCTTGGCGCAGTTGTCTTCGTTTGCCTATCATCACTATTCTCCCCGAAGCCTAAACCGGGGACCAAGCCTAAGATTGCGTTGCTCTCCGCAGCACCTTCCCTGGCATCCTCCATCTCGGTTCGGCGACAAGCTTGGTTGACTGCCATTCAGACAGTCTGGGTCCCACGCCACCAATTCCTCCTGGAAGCATGCGCCCTGCTGTTGAAGATGGTAAAGCTGAGCATGCGGAATGTCATAGGTGCACAGAGCTACACTGTGCTCACCGGTATCACTCCAGAACAAGAGGCAGCTAGGATCAAGGCTTGGACTATCGCCCTTGACGCCCAACTCACCGGTGGAGACGTCGAGGTAAGCAAGAGCCGACTCACATTGACCTTGCTTGCCTCCGGTACTCTACCTGATACTCCCGCCCGCCTCATGCTCAAGGCATTGCATATCCGTGTGTTACTATGGGAGGTGGGAAACGCTGGTTTCAATGGCTTCTATCTCTTTCACGAAGTGGCTGCTAAACTGGCTCGCTGGAAGTGGAATGAGGCCAAGCAATTGCACCGCCTGTTATCTCACACCTTGGAAAAGCAAGATGATGAGCTTCCAGATTACCTTCTTGCCCTACTGGAGAAGGAATGCGATGATGTCCTTGTCAACAGCATTTCTCAGCGCGCTTACAATCTGGCTTGGAACCTGCCCACGACTAATAACATCGAAGGATCAAGCGACGGCATGGATGGCGTTGTTGACGATTTTGCCATTCGCAGTCCCCTTGAAGCCGTTGCAGCCTGGTACTCAAGCCTCGTCCTACAACGAGCTCTGGTCAAGAGCCTTCAGTCACCCTCCGACGACCTTGCGGCACAGAATTCTATCGTCGACGATATTTCGACAGCAATCAAGACTGCGCCTACTGGTTCTCGTGCCCACGTCAGATCCCTCGTCGCCCGTGCTGTTCTGGTCAGGGAGAAGCGTGGAGCTAGCATTGCAGACTCCATAAAGGCCCTGGATCCGCTGGAGAAAGCGGGTGGCGAGCGTGCTCCCGGCCTCCCCAGCAGCAGCAGTATTTTCCTTGCTGGCCTTCCCGACGCCAAGATGGCTCTACGGTGCGCCATGGCCACTGCTTTCATCGAACGCTTCCCAGCACCTTCTAATCCTGTAATGGCTTCTCGCATCATTCGCTCCATCTCTCCCAGCAACACCCTGACTCTTCTTGGTTTCACTGCCGCTTTCAAGCTCATGGAGCGAATAAACGGCCACGATCTGGTCGCTGCTTCCTGCAGCCAACCACTTGAGAAGCTGGCTGGTGACCTCCGCATCTGGATCGGTGGCAAGAACGAAATTACAGCTGTCTTGGACAAGGAAGCCAAGAGAGATATGATCGACACGTGTTCGAGCATCCTGAAGCGCACCGTTCTCCTGCAGGACGCTGGCTACGAGACGATGAGCGATGAAGATGATGACGAGAGTTGCTGAAAGTCTCCTCAGGCATTCTTTTCTTATTCCGTGGCTCGAGATCGACCACGCTGCTGCCTCTTGCTCACCCCATCTGTTCGATGTATACCTCCGTTTTCCTTTGTTATCTCGTGGCTGGAGGTGGACCTCGCTACTGCCTTTTGCTCACCCCATCTCTTTGATGTATATTTGCTTTTTTCCCATCAGGTGGCTCTTGCTCCCGGATGCCACCGGCGTTTGGGTTCTGGTGTTTAGGGATGGAGGATGACCTTACGGCTCTGTGGTCTGCCCGCCTGCCTGTGGAGTGTGTATTTTGGTCGTTACGATAAAAGGATTGGTGGAATGGGAATGAAGGAGTGACATTGCCTTTTGATACACCCAGATACTTGCTGCGACAGCCTAAAAGTGATGATCATCATTTGCTCTCAAGACTCTTTCTTTCCTCGCACCCGCTGACGTGGGTGAGAAGAGATGGTACAGGAATTGTACAGAGAGAGAAGGGGGGTATATGAAAGCCAAGAGGCTGGAAAATATAAGCGAGTGAGATTCGCCTAGATGTATGTCAATGAGCGTCACTTTGTTTGTTGTTCATCATGCTTACTCGCCGATGTGGAAGTAGATGTGTGTACACGGGCGGCTGCCCGCAAGACAAATTCAGAGCAAAGAAATTTGTCTGGGATTCTTTTGTCGTTGAGAAATATGGATAAACATACATACATACCAGGTCTTTTAGTAATCTAGTAGTACTAAATTTACATGTTGAACTCCTTGTATTCATTATCCAGGCAGGAAAGGATTACTTACTCGCCGCGGTGTGGTCGAGACGCTGGCTTGTCTATTCCTTGGTACAATCGTTCTTTTCTACTTGACAGCTCCACCAAGGCTCTGCAGGGCTCTCCAAGTTCCTGTAGTCATGAGATCGATAGATAGGTCGATGGATATAGGTCGATGGATAGGAGTAGCTCTAGACAACAAAACCGCCGATAGCATGCGTGCATCCCCGACGCGGCAATTCTTTCTCGCGCCGACACTCTTGCTGGCGTCTCTGAAGAAGGCATCACTCCGGAATCACGACTCAATCGTGCGTGCGCCATCGTCAGTTATGTACCTACCTACCTACCACCGACTAACGACTGATAATCTGAAAGGCGATGATGCGATGGATGAGAAGTGAGATGCAGATGGAAATGAGGATACTATTTACATACAGTATATACATCAGTACGGAGAGTTGATCAAAAGTAGGTTTTTTTTTTTTTTTCGTTTACGTCTTGACTTT